TAATTATTAATTAATATAATATAATATTATTGATAAATACTAGAAAATGAAAATAAAAAAAGGAAAATAACTTTCAATTATTTTCTAATTCCAAAAATCGTTTCGTTCTCACTATTTTTCCTTTCAAAACATTTGCTAAATAAACGTCGTTTCATTTTAATTTTTTACTTCTCGAATTATGTGAAAATCGGTTTTAAAAGAGGTTCTAAACACGCACAATAAGTTGACGTGGATGGAGGCTTTTCGATACGCAACAACAATTTGATAATATTCAATTGTCATCAACTAATTTGTTAAAAATAATACGGGTGAAAGCGTCAAAAAAATTATTTGGCCTCACTCGCCTCACAAATTTGAGTTTTTAATTCGAGTTTAAATGTGATATTTTTTAAAAAACTTTTAATTATAATAAAAAAAATTATTGTGATGTGTTTCAAGAATTTTTAATTGTAAAAATGTAAAACTGAAAATTTAAATGGGTGGAATGATCCAAACCTTTATAATTTTGTTTGTCAAGTAGGACTTCTAGAAAAGTTGACTATCAACGTCTTTTTTCTAACTTGCCCATTGACATGCATTTGTGTATGCCTCATACTCGTAAGCATCTATTTGACAACTTGAGAATATACAATTGTGATATAGATATATATATATATATATTTAACGGGTCTTATCCTCAAATCATCTATTTTAACTTTAGCTATAATTGACAGCAGTTTTGAATAAGAATAAAAGAAAAATAAAAAAGATAAAAGAAGAAGGAAAAAAAGTAAGATCAACAAATTTTTGACAAGTAACTTTGATATATATATATATATATTTAACGGGTCTTATCCTCAAATCATCTATTTTAACTTTAGCTATAATTGACAGCAGTTTTGAATAAGAATAAAAGAAAAATAAAAAAGATAAAAGAAGAAGGAAAAAAAGTAAGATCAACAAATTTTTGACAAGTAACTTTTAAAATGGGACCATTAAAAATTTTTAAGTTTTAATATTGATCTATTAAAAATTTTTAAGGCTCAATATTAACTTATTGAGTATTAAAATTTATTCTTTTAAAGTAAATAATTTAACAGATTATTATTTATAATTTGATAAAATTACGTTGGCGGTTTGTCTCTGATCACTTACAACAGTTTTCAATTACTGACGGTAAGTATAATTTGATAAATTATTATATATAATTTGACAATAATTTAACAAGTTATTATATATAATTTAACAAATTATTATAAAAAAGTAACATATTACAATAAAATGATAGAACTTTAAAAAAATACGTTTAAAGGGTCAATTTTTTTATAATTTTCTCCTTGAGATTGAACCAGAAAAACTGGAGAAAAACTTTATTGCTTGAATCTTGCTTGACAGTACAACCAGAAATCAAGAACAAAAGTCAACGGGTAATATGTGTGAAGAATATGGACCCAGAGAAGAGATTCATGAGTGGTGAAACTGAAGACTAGGCATGTAACTCAACACCCTAGTGTGCTTTCTATTTATAATAACAGCTTGTTTGTTAATTTTAATTTTTAATTTAAGTTGAAATATAATTTTATGTGAGAATTTTTTATTGTAATAAAAAAATTAAATGTAATTATTTTAAATTTTTTTTATTATAATAAAATTTAAATTTTAAATTTGAATCAATAAAATAAACAGAATCTAATATTCTTGATCCATTCTAATTATAACACGTCCTTAATTTTTTTTTTTTTTTCTTTTAGGATTTTCCCTCAGACCTTCCTTCCTCCGAAGGTTTTTAGAGATTTTTCCTCCTTCAAGAAAGTTCACTTTTCATATTCTGTTATTCACTTTAGACGCATCTAGTTAGATGCATTAATTGAGGTGACAGTAGAAGGTACAGAAGCCCACCAAATTCGATTCAAGCAACTGACAAGGCACGGCCATACCAAAGAGATTTGGAACAAGTCAAGGAATTCTGAATGAGCCGAAGATGTCACCGAACAAGAATACGCTATCCAACAAGCCAGAGATGTCAAATTGACTATCAGAGCGAAGAAATGAGAAATTTCTTCAAAGTTGTCGTCGGAGTATTGATTTGCTCCACGTGTAAGCAATCCATGGAGTTCACATCCCTCTTGCACTTAATTCACGGCAAAAGGTCTATTTATATTGACTTAAAAAAAATTATTTTTAATTTATTTAGTTAAAAATCACTTTTAAATCTATTTAAATGGTTAATTTTAAAGTGTTTTTAATTTTTTTAAATATTTTTAAAATAAGTTATCTCATTAATATTTATGAAAAAAGTATTTATAAAAAGTTTAACTATTTATACTTTTTATTTTTTATTTTTAAATAATAAATTAAATGTCTCATTTATATCATTTTATTACATTATTTTTTATAATAAGAAGCACTTTTGATTTTTTTATATAAATAAGTTTAAAAAACTCTTCTTAAATATAATAATATTTTTTATGTACTATTTAAACATTAATTAAAAAGTCTTAATTTATATTTATTTTTTGTAACTATTTAAAAGCATAAATATATAGGGTCCGTTTAGTTCATTAATTCAAATTGAAATGTGATTTTATGTGAGAATTTTTTATTAAAAAAAAAATTAAATTTGATAATTTTTTTACTATAATAAAATTTAAATTTTAAGCTCAAAATTATTCCAAACGAGCGTGCGTGCAGAGAGAGTTATCAACTCTAGTGAGGTTCTCTACTTTTCTCTAAACCCACGTGTGTTGTGTGTGTTCTACCACCAATACCTCTCTTCTTCGTCCGCATTATATTTTCTTCTCAAATCCTCAGCCGACTCCCCTGCATATTTTGATGTTTGCGTCATCGCCTTGACTCCGGCCGTTCAAGTCGCCACCATTAAGTCGTCACTTATTCATCTTTTTCTAGAATTTTTATGTTGACCTATTAAATTTTATTTTTAAAAAATAAATAATTTAATATATTATTATCTATAATTTAATAAATTATGTTGACGACGAGTCTCTGGTCAGTGACGGGTTTTTAATTAGCGGTGCAAACGTAATTTTATAAGTTATTATATATAATTTGATAAATTATTATAAAAGAATAGCTCACCACAGAAAAAAAATAAAACTTCAAAAGAATTTGTTTAAGAGACAGATTTTGTAATTTTCTGACGTATATTCATCTTACGAAATCTCAGCCTAAAAAGAAGAAAAAAAAAAAAAAAAAACCCCAAGGACTTCAATGAAAAAGAAGCAATGATAACTTAGTCTTGTGTATATTTAATGAGTCTTCCATTTGCCTATGTCCACCGATTATTAGTATATAGATTGAGGTACTTCACTAATCTTCCAGTATTCTTAATTAATTAGCTGCTCACCAAAGTTATACTTAGTCCAAAAATGGTGGCTCTCAACTTCCATGGAGCGCTGCTTATCTTGCAAGTAGGTCTACTTGTCCTGCTTATCACGACTCACTCGATTCTATCATCATCATCATCATCAGCAGCAGCAGCAGCCTTGCAAGGCTGCTTCGACCGATGCGGAGACGTCGAAATCCCGTACCCGTTCGGCATGTCGGAAAACTGTTCCCTTAATGCAAATTTCACCATCAAGTGTAGCAACTCGACCCCTATATACGGTGAAAATATAGGAGTCACCAACATATCCACCGACCGTCACGAGATGACCATCATGTGGAACGTCGCCCACGACTGCTACAACGAGTCCGGTGGACTCGTGTCGTGGAACGTTCACTGGCTCGACATTCCCTCACTCTCAATCTCCAGTTCCAAAAACAAGTTCGGCGTCATCGGCTGCGACTCCTACGCCTACCTCCATGGTATTCACAAAGAGAACAACTTTTCCATGGGGTGCATGTCGATTTGTGAGGACAAGGACGACGTGCCTGACGATGGATCATGCTCCGGGATCGGGTGTTGTCAGGTAGACATACCCAAAGGGCTCAAGTATGCCACGATATTGCCGTATAGCTCTAAAAACCATACCGGCGTCATAAAATTTAACCCCTGCAGTTACGCCTTTGTAGTCAAACGCACCAAGTTCAATTTCTCCCGCAATTTCCTTGGGAATTTCTCCGAGACTGAAATGCCGGTGGTGGTTGATTGGGCGATCGATAATGAGGCTGAGACGCGTGAGGCGAGCTCGGAAAAATATATAAAGTGCGGCAGAGAGAACACCATCCTCGAGTTCACGCCCGACAGGCAGCAGTACAACTGCAAATGCAAGGAGGGCTACCGGGGAAACGCTTACCTCCCTGCTGGTTGCCAAACAGGTGTTATTATGTTGAACGATAAGAGTTATACTCTTAACAATATATTGTTACAATATAAATAGTTTGATCTACGTCTTAACTGCCGAAACTTTTGAAATCGATTGATTAACTAACGGCCTCTGCATTTACTAATATGTAGAGTATTTAGAAATTAAGCATACGGTTTGTAAAACGACACCTAAAATGAAAATTAGTACCAACTTGGTGATGTTTATAATATTGCACTAATGATTTAGAAATATCTTGCACATATATGTATAATTATATACATTTTCAATGGTTTGCAGATATTGATGAATGTAACTCCGGTGTCCACAATTGTACCAAGTATCAAATCTGTGATAACACCCCAGGGAGTTTTACTTGCAAGGATCGGCACCGCCAATAGTATAGTCTGATTTATAAGATTGTTATTGGTATGTAGTGTAGATCAATATACACATGTGATGTACCACATCAATCTTGCCTTGACATATTATTGGATATACATGTACATGCACATATAAAATATGTATAAACATTTGCATTGAGAGGATAACCCAAATGGATTATATAAGATTATTTATACAGCAATTAAAATATTTGTCACTTGGGGTCAATTAGTGTTACCACTTACCGTCGCGCTAGTACTTCTATCTAATTATGGTAATTTATTTTTCGGTCACAAATATAGAGAAGAAGAATTTTGTAATAAATAACTACCACGTTGATATCAGTATGCGCGGCTCTACACTACCAGATTTTCATTCAATTCCATTAAATTTGTTTATCTGTTTTTTTATTATGATAAAATATTTTGTTTATCTTCTTTTTATAATTATAATAAAATATTGATGTGATTATAATGGTTTACGTAACTCTAAAAAAGGAAACCATATCGAGCTTGAATTAAACAATTACTGCAAGCAAGTAGTTTTTGCTTAGAACTTTAAAATTTCAATCCGATGGGGCTTTCTACTTTCTAGAGAAGGATTTTATAGGGATATTGCAGTTGAAAACTGTTGAGATGAAATCAATTTAATGACCACTTATAAATGTACAGGTGCTGCAATAGGCGTCATTGTCTTATTCTTCCGTGTCCCGTGGCTGTATTTGGTTTTAAAGAAGAGGAAGCTAATCCAACTCAAAGAGAAGTTCTTTCGTCAGAATGGTGGCTTACTTTTACGACAAAAACTCTCTGGAGATCGAGATCAATACAACTCCAATGAGGCGGCGAAAATATTCACCGAAGAAGAGCTGCTAAATGCGACCCTAAAATACGATGACACAAGAATTATTGGCCAAGGAGGTTTTGGAACTGTCTACAAAGGCATTTTGCCAGATAATAGAATTGTTGCCATCAAGAAGTCCAAGCTTATGGACCGAAATGAAATCAAACAGTTCATAAACGAGGTAGTTGTTCTCTCCCAAATTAACCACAGGAATGTTGTCAAACTCTTAGGATGTTGTTTGGAAACTCAAGTTCCTTCACTTGTCTATGAATTTGTCCCTAATGGTACACTCTCAGACCACATACATGATAAGGAAAAATCATGTAAATTAGTTTGGGAAATTCGTCTAAGAATAGCTGCAGAAACTGCGGAGGTTTTGTCATATCTCCACTCGGCAGCCTCAACGCCAATCATTCACAGAGATGTGAAGCCTTCAAATATACTTGTAGACAACTACACTGCAAAAGTCTCCGATTTTGGAGCTTCTAGGTTGGTTCCTCAGGACCAAATTGAGTTGGCAACAATGGTGCAAGGTACTCATTAATATTTAAAAATTATTTTTAATTTATTTAGTCAAAAAATCACTTTTAAATCGATTTAAATGGTCAATTTTAAAGTGTTTTTAATTTTTTTAAACACTTTTCGAATAAGTATCTTATTAATATTTATGAAAAAAGTATTTATAAAAAGTTTTTTATTTATATTTTTAACCTTTTATTTTTAAATAATAAATTAACTATCGGAGCGAAGAAAGCCATATGTTGTATGATAAATTTCTTCGAAGTTGCTGTCGGAGTATTGATTTGCTCCACGTCACATGGCTATAAATATAACCTCCCTCCTGCACTTCACGGCAAATGGTCTATTTAGATTGACTTAAAAAAATTATTTTTAATTTATTTAGTCAAAAAATCACTTTTAAATCTATTTAAATGGTCAATTTTAAAGTGTTTTTAATTTTTTAAACACTTTTAGAATAAGTATCTCATTAATATTTATGAAAAAAGTTTTTATAAAAAGTTTTTAATTTACATTTTTAACCTTTTATTTTTAAATAATAAATTAAATATCTCATTCATATCATTTTATTACATTATTTTTTACAATAAGAAGCACTTTTAACTTTTTTATATAAATAAGTTTAAATTTTTTTAAAATATTAAATATAAAAATATTTTCTGACGTATATTCAACTTACGAAATCTCAACCTAAAAACAAAAACAAAAACAAAAACAAAAACAAAAAAACCCAAGGAGTACTTCAATGAAAAAGAAGCAATGATGACTTAGTCTCGTGTATATTGAATGAGTCTTCCATTTGCCTATGTCCACCGATTATTAGTATATAGATTGAGGTACTTCACTAATCTTCCAGTATTCTTAATTAATTAGCTGCTCACCAAAGTTATACTTAGTCCAAAAATGGTGGCTCTCAACTTCCATGGAGCGCTGCTTATCTTGCAAGTAGGTCTACTTGTCCTGCTTATCACGACTCACTCGATTCTATCATCATCATCATCATCATCATCAGCAGCAGCCTTGCAAGGCTGCTCCGACCGATGCGGAGACGTCGAAATCCCGTACCCGTTCGGCATGTCGGAAAACTGTTTCCTCAATGACAATTTCTTCATCAATTGCAGCAAGTCGACCCCTATATACGGTGAAAATATAAGAGTCACCAACGTATCCACCGACCGTCACGAGATGACCATCATGCGGTACGTCGCCAAAGACTGCTTAAACGAGTCCGATGGACAAATGTGGTGGAACGAACCCTGGCTCAAGTTTCGCTCGCTCTCAATCTCCAGTTCCAAAAACAAGTTCGTCGTCCTCGGCTGCGACTCCTACGCCTACCTCACGGGTATTCACAAAGAGAACAGTTCCTTTTCCATGGGGTGCATGTCAATTTGTGAGGACAAGAACGACGTGCCTGACGATGGATCATGCTCCGGGATCGGGTGTTGTCAGGTAGACATACCCAAAGGGCTCAAGAATGCCACGATATTGGCGCGGAGCTTTGAAAACTATACCTACGTCAAAAAATTTAACCCCTGCACTTACGCCTTTGTAGTCGAACGCACCAAGTTCAATTTCTCCCGCAGTTTCCTTTGGAATTTCTCCGACACCGAAATGCCGGTGGTGGTTGATTGGGCGATAGATAATAAGACTAAGTGCGGCAGAGATAACACCATCATCGAGCTCACGCCCGACGGGCTGCAGTACTACTGCAAATGCAAGGAGGGCTACCGGGGAAACGCTTACCTCCCTGCTGGTTGCCAAACAGGTGTTATTTTATTGAACGATAAGAGTTATACTCTTAACTATATATTGTTACAATATAAATAGTTTGATCTACGTCTTAACTGCCGAAACTTTTGAAATCGATTGATTAACTAACGGCCTCTGCATTTACTAATATGTAAAGTATTTAAAAATTAAGTATACGGTTTGTAAAACGACACCTAAAATGAAAACTAGTACCAACTTGGTGATGTTTATAATATTGCACTAATGATTTATATATATCTTGTACATATATGTATAATTATTTCAGTGGTTTGCAGATATTGATGAATGTAACTCGGGCGTCCACAATTGTACCAAGGATCAGATCTGTGATAACACCCCAGGGAGTTTTACTTGCAAGGATCGGCACCGCCAATCTTATAGTCTGTTTTATAAGATTGTTATTGGTATGTAGTGTAGATCAATATACACATGTGATGTACCACATCTATCTTGCCTTGACATATTATTGGATATACATGTACATGCACATATAAAATGTGTATAAACATTTGCTTTGAGAGGATAACCCAAATGGATTATATAAGATTATTTATGCAGCAATTAAAATATTTGTCACTTGGGGTCAATTAGTGTTACCACTTACAGTCACGCTAGTACTTCTATCTAACTATGATAATTTATTTTTCGGTCACAAATATAGAGAAGAAGAATTTTGTAATAAATAACTACCACATTGATACTAATATTCGCGACTCTACACTACCAGATTTTCATTTAATTCCATTAAATTTGTTTATCTTTTTTTTATTATGATAACATATTTTGTTTATCTTCTTTTTATAATTATAATAAAATATTGATGTGATTAATGGTTTACCATATCGAGCTTGAATTAAACAATTACTGCAAGCAAGTAGTTTTTGCTTAGAACTTTAAAATTTCAATCCGATGGGGCTTTCTACTTTCTAGAGAAGGATTTTATAGGGATATTGCAGTTGAAAACTGTTGAGATGAAATCAATTTAATAACCACTTATAAATGTACAGGTGCTGCAATAGGCGTCATTGCCTTATTCATCTGTGTCCCTTGGCTGTATTTGGTTTTAAAGAAGAGGAAGCTAATCCAACTCAAAGAGAAGTTCTTTCGTCAGAATGGTGGCTTAATTTTACGACAGAAACTCTCTGGAGATCGAGATCAATACAACTCCAATGAGACGGCGAAAATATTCACTGATGAAGAGCTGCTAAATGCGACCCTAAAATACGATGACTCAAGAATTATTGGCCAAGGAGGTTTTGGAACTGTCTACAAAGGCATTTTGCCAGATAATAGAATTGTTGCCATCAAGAAGTCCAAGCTTATGGACCAAAATCAAATCGAACAGTTCATAAACGAGGTAGTTGTTCTCTCCCAAATTAACCACAGGAATGTTGTCAAACTCTTGGGATGTTGTTTGGAAACTCAAGTTCCTTCACTTGTCTATGAATTTGTCCCTAATGGTACACTCTCAGACCACATACATGATAAGGAAAAATCATGTAAATTAGTTTGGGAAATTCGTCTAAGAATAGCTGCAGAAACTGCGGAGGTTTTGTCATATCTCCACTCGGCAGCCTCAACGCCAATCATTCACAGAGATGTGAAGCCTTCAAATATACTTGTAGACAACTACACTGCAAAAGTCTCCGATTTTGGAGCTTCTAGGTTGGTTCCTCAGGACCAAATTGAGTTGGCAACAATGGTGCAAGGTACTCTCGGATATTTGGACCCCGAGTACTTGCTCACCAACCAACTGACGGAAAAAAGCGATGTTTACAGCTTTGGAGTCGTTCTAGTGGAGCTATTAACAGGAAAGAAAGCGATATGTTTCGAGAGACCAGAAGCGGAGAGGAGTTTAGCTATGCATTTTCTGTCTTTAATGGGAAGGGATGAGTTGTCTGAGATAGTTGAGAGTGGTATTGTGAAAGAGGATTTTGGAAATAAAGAGCAAGTGGAGGAAGTTGCAAGGCTTGCAAGGAGGTGTTTGAATGTGAACGGAGAAGAGAGGCCTACAATGAAAGAAGTGGCAATGGAATTGGAAGGACTGAGAAGAATGGAAAAGCATCCATGGGCTAATCATGAGTACTTGGTGAAATTTGAAGAGACTGAATCTTTGCTTGCTCATGATCAGGCTTCCATATCTTATAAAGACATGGGTGAAACTAGTAGTGCCAATATTGCTTCTTATGATACTGTAAGGGACCAGTTCTTTATTGATTTCTGTGGTAGATGATTGGAATATTTGTGTGATTGTTCTACAATGAAACCTCTAGATGTATTTTTAGGCTTTCTTTTTCTTGTTTTCGTTTCTAGAAATATTGCATCTTTATTGAATGAAATGTATGATTGTATCCATTAGATAGTTCGAGTACGATTGAATATGAAACATTTTTATTTGTGTTTTCCTTTTCAATATAGTATTGATGGTTTTTTTTTTTAAATCTTTTTTCCTTTACCTGTTAACAGCGTTATTTATTATCATTTTTTTTATGAAATCCTAAAACTTCATCTATATGTTTCATTGTAAAATAATTCTACAGATATTCCTACCATTTCCCACTGAAGTTAAGAAGTAATATTGAAATTACTAACGTCACTCATGTATTTACAGGATTAGAATTTTGAAGAGCAAGCAAACATTTATCTCTTTCAAAATTCACCAACTCATGATTAGAATATTCATCCTTGACCAGTTTTTTTTAATAGAAATTTCAACATAAAAAATTATGTAGGAACATTTTAGAATTTAAGAGTTTTAAAGTGTAGGGGATAAACTGAAAATGATGTCAAACTTCAGGGTACCAGTGATAATATATATATATTTTTTCCGTTTATCAATTTCCTCGTGAGAAGTAAAAACGACAACGTTTATTCTCCTTCGACGACAGCGTTTTTGGTTTTTACGTACGTGGGTTGGGTTGGGTTGGGTCGGGTTGGGTTGCCTCCTCCATTTTTACGGTTCGGGAGACTTGCTCGCTGACTCAACTCTGCTCTCTGACCGTCGAAGGAAGAGAGATTTGCGTTATTTTTTTTTTTATGAAATCTTAAAATTTCATCTATATGTTTCTTTGTAAAATAATTCTACAGATATTCCTACCATTTCCCACTGAAGTAAAAGACTAATGTGGTCCATACGCTTTCATAAGAAGATATTCCTATCAAAATGAAAATGAAAATGTTTTCATTTTCATTTTCGTACAGAAAATAAAATTATTTTGAAACGAATTCCAAACGCACATCATGTATTTATAGGATTGGAATTTTAAAAAGCAAGCAAACATTTATGTCTTCCAAAATTCACCAACTCATGATTAGAATATTCATCCTTGACCAGTTTTTTTTTTAACAGAAATTCCAACAGAAAAAATTAAGTAGAAACATTTTAAAATTTAACAGTTAAAATAAGAGTTTTAAAGTGTATGGGATAAACTAAAATTTTTTGCTAATTCGAGTTTAGAATTCGAGTTTATATTTCGGTAAATCGCTGCTTGAATTTTGATCTAGCTATGTCGGAATCTTTCGCTTGGGGTTCTTTTCTTTTCTTTTTCCGTTCTAAATTTGAAGTCTGATTGAAATGAGTAGTGATGAAGCAAGCATTGTTAACTTTATATACAATAGGAGCTATGAAATCTACATAATTCATAGAGTTCTAAATAAATGACCCATAAAGCACTTAAAAAGCATTGAATTAAAATTAAAGGGAAACACCAATATGGAATAAGGCCATGCCAAGTTAGGAAGTATTAACAAGTTTTAAAATTGTTATGATGTTTGAAGGTTGCGCTTATTGTGGGATAAACATTACATCCGTATAAAGGTAAAGATGGAGGAAAAGTAGTATTGCGATAGTTTCTTTAAACTTTTAAGACATGACGCAAAGTTTATGTGATTGTCTTCACGAAATTTTACTAATTCATTGTCGATCTTATGGCTAAGGACCGAATGTGCTAAAAGGAATATAAAATTCAGGGACTAATTGACCAAAAAAGGGTGAAAGGCCAAATTTTCCTCCAGAAACCACTTTACTAGTTATGTTTTCGCCATAAAGAGGGTGGCTTTGTTTCAACTTAGTGGAAAAATGAAACTTCAATTTAAGATGCTACGAAATCATATGATTTCCTTAAGTTTGCAGGACTATTCATTCTCTTAATGATATAATGAATGGCTAGTGTCTTGATGTTTTGACTTGTTCATCAGAGTCAAATTGGCCCATCGATGTAAAGTTTCATGAGACTTGTACCCTTTACTTGTAGCATGACTGAAAGAGTGCTAAAAGCTCCGAGATTTTGTTGCAGAATTGGTATCAGACTGTTTAAAGTGTTGCGCAGAAGATTCTGATGATTCTACAAGCAAGGTATGCATGACTTATCACATAACCATTTGGAAGTTGATAACATGCTTTAGTTCTAAATCTGGTTGTTCTTGAGACTAACATTTTGAATATGATATTACTATCACTTTTTTGTTTTTCTCATATTTTGTGTGGGATTATTTTATCTTGTACTTTATTTCAAGAAAGAAAGAAAGAAAGAATTGCCTAAGGAAAAACTATATTGTACGTCAGATTACCTATTCTGGTGCCATATTGGAGGTCTGCATGAGGAAACTGGTTTTCTATCCTGAAATTGTTGGTTTCATTGAAGAAGAGAAGGATCGGTTCCCTTCAGTTAAAGTACAATACCTTTTCAATTCACCGCCAAAATTGATCATGCTCGACGATGCCGGCCAACACAAGGAAACAATTAGGTAAGAATTTCCAAATCAGTTACGAAAGAAACAGAAATTTATTGATTCAAGAAAAAGTAAGCTTGTAGAGAGATTCTTCTGTGGCTCTAAAGCTCACAATCACATACCAAAAAAAAACAAAAAACAAAAACAAATCAAACAAACAAAGCATGTAAAAAAGAGAGGGAGAATAAACAGTTTCTCAAAACAAACAAATTTATTAGAAGTTGTCTGTTGTTTTTCAATTTGGATGAGAATGGAATGCAGAATTTTTTTTGAGCTTTAGGCTCGTGTAGTCTAATGCTAGATTGAAATTATTTAAACAGTTTCTCTAGCTTTCTGAAAAAGATTATAATGCTGAAACAAAAGAGAATGAGAGGAGATGAGAGAAATAGAGGAAAAGAGAGAAGTAGTGAGAGATAGAGAGAGAGTCTATATGTAGTCAGTTAATACTCATCAAGTCTGCCCCAGATGTTCTACATGGCGGCATTTTATAATGAGAAGAAAAGCCTCTTCTAGAAGCCAAGCAAACATTACCTAGAGATAAAACATGATAACAATATAGTACATAGCCTGTGGTCCATCTTTTTATGCCTAGTGTTAGTTTTCAATTATTATTTTTGTCATATCCATTAGATTAGGTTTTACATTTGTTATGGTTAGTGAGTTTGAACCCTATTTCTATCGAAACTCCTTGAAGAAAAACTTAATGGACTGTTGCAGGATCGACAACTGGAAACGCGAACATATACTGCAGTTTCTAAAAGAGAAGGTCAAGCGTACGTCGGCATACTGAGAGTCGTCTTCAAATCTTGATGACATTTGATCAATCACGGCCTCAATCCTTTCTTGTCATTGATAAGGGGGAAGATTTGCGGTAGAAGTAACTTTTGGACTTGCAAACTGAAGTTTGTTGATGTGGAAATGCATGTTGATATCATCATGTGTGATGGACTGCCAACATGGTCTTTTACTTGGATTATAGAGATTTGGTTTATTGTGTGTGTACTTTTAGATGATCATAAATCGGATCACAGAATTGGCCATTTACAAGATTCAGCAGATTTACACGATAATTGGTCATTTTTAAGACTTCTTTTGATTACTATTATACACTTTGATCCTTTAGACTTGAGGATGTTTGTTTTTTATATTCGTTTCTGATTCTGAATCATGATTCATGATTCTTTACAGTGATTTTTTCTCACAAAAAATACATGTAAAACGATAATTGTTCTGAATCATAATTCTAAATACATTAACCAAACGTACACTAATATTTTTTCTTATTTGTCTGAATAAATCTTTGAAAAGGAAAAAAAAATGTTACTTTCTTCCACACTAGGATTAAAAAAAGTTTTAACCGTCTTAGTTCCTGTGCAATCCAAGATATTCGTTTGAAAAAATGTCTAAATCCCTCCCTTTGCCCCTTTTGCTCATTATTATATAACAAACAAAAAAGGAGGAATACGATAAAATATTTTCCAAATAATATTCTTGCAAATTTAAGTGGTATTCTAGATAACCTATAAACCAATCTCCTTTTTCAAAAAAAAAAAAAAAAAAAAAAAATTCTATGAACACTTATAGTTCTTTTATTGAACACTTATATCTTATTAAAATTACATTAAATTAAAAAATATATATACAAAACAAACATTTTCTAATATAAATATGACGGTTGAAAAGTAAAAAATTACTAGTAATGTATTTTTTTAGGTTTATTAGAGAAACTCTCTTTTTTTCACCAGAAAATAAATTTTGAGAATTAAAGTGAATAGAAGAGGACCAAGCTTGGATTAATAAATGCCAACAAACATAAATTATTGTAGAGAATACAACAACTAAGGGTCCGTTTAGTTCGCTGATTTGAGTTGAGATATGATTATTTTTTAGAACTTTTTACTGTAACAAAAAAGTTAGATGTGACTGTTTCTGAGAGATTTTTACTGTAGCAAAACTCGAATCGGTGAAATGAACAGGGCCTAAAGATACTTAAAAATCATAAAATCCATAAAAATCACAAACATCTACATGAAAGACCACAAAACTCTTACAAAATTCAAAGATACTGAATGAAATACATAAAAGTATAAGTATAATTTTGCTCAGTACATAAAATTTAAATGACGTCAATGTGGTACTATTTTATAATAATTTTAATACCTACGGTAAAAGTCAAACCAACCTTAAAAACCGTAATATATTGCTTAAATATCTCATAGAACATTGGTGTTTATTCCTTATGATTTCTATTATGATCTAAAACTAAGCCCCTTTTGGTTCGCTGGTTCAAATTTTATTGATTTAAACATAAAAATTCAAACTGTATGATTTAAATTGTAGTTTAAATTGGCACTTAGATGTGCAATTATAATTATAATTTGAATATGAAATAAAATTTAAATTTGTGTTTGGTAGGTGTGAAAAGCAAAAATAGTGAACATCTTTTTACTATTTAAAATGATTTAAATGGTTGAACTTAAGGAGGAAACTAAACTCTAAGAGCCCATTTGGTTCATGCGTTTAAATTAGTGATTATTGATTTTCGCATTTGAAATTTAAATTTTTTTGTGAGAGAAAAATAATGTAGCAAAATAAAAAATATGATTTTTAACGCAACAAACAAATGAGCTTTAATATTTTAATTTAGTTCAAATAGAAAATATAATTCGGATTACGTGCTTATTAAATAAGAGTTTAAACTATATTTACTGTTTAAATTGAATTAAATTAAATTAAATTAGTTAAATAAACGGGGTTAAATTGACATATGTAATACTAATGAAAAATAGTAAGAAATAGGTCAATATGAAAAACTTAAGAAAGTATATAGGTCAATTTTTAGTTATAGAAATTAATAGGCCATAACTTATTAAGTTATGGTTCATAATCAGATAAATTATAGATAAACTTGTCAAGTTATGGTTTATAGCCAGACAAATTATAAATAAACTTGTCAAGTTATGATTTACAACTAGACAAGTTATGAACGAAAACAGTAATTTAACCTATTTATTAACTTATATAAACTATTAACTTATTAATTTTAATTTATCTCAAATCTTGATATATTTCTTTCTTTCTCCCGATACTAATTCAGAGCTTTGCTGAACGCTCCGGAAAGTGGAACCCAAGCGGCCATTATTCTACTGAGCCCAAGGGGTAATTTAGTCTTTTGATTATTCCCATGAATAAATTTTTAATTCCTGTGAGTTCTAGAAATAAACCCCTCCAAAAAAAAAAAAAAAAAAAAACCCTAACTTTCTTCTTTCTTCTTCTACATACACCCGCACTGTTTCAGACGATCTCTCCCGCTCTCCAGTTCCATCAGGTAAAAAAAAAAAAAAACTGGTTTCTCTCTCTCCATTTCTCTCTCTTCTCGGTTATGATCTTCAAATCTCTAATCTTTACTTCTGTTAATGGCGCTCCTCATTTCTCTCCAGTCTCAGCCATCGTTCCTTCATTGTGCTTTCTGAGAAAGAAGACCAATCTCAAACCCTAACAAAATGCACGCTCCGGTGCTCGTTCTCAGTAAGCTTTCTCTCTCCTTTCCCCTATTTATTCTGATCGTTTTTCATTTCGATTTGTCTCGCACGAAATTAGATTTTGAATTTGTTTCTGTTTGGTTTAAAATTGAAAGAAATGAAATTGATTCGTCCTTTTTTCTTTTGTTCGATGAGCAGAGGATTCTCTAAAGCGGGAGTCTGGAAGCAAGGTGCAACATGCCAATATCCAAGCTTCTAAGGTTAGAAGCTTTTTTTATGATTTCACTCTCACATTTTCTTGTTTTTCTTCTTTGTTTTTTCTCTCCAGAAATTCATTCTATTTTTTTTTCCTGATTCGTTCTTTTATAGGCTGTTGCGGACATTATACGTACGACTTTGGGTCCCAGATCCATGTTGAAGATGCTACTGGATGCTAGTGGAGGTAATTTTGGAAACCAGTTTGGCTTGATATTTTTTCCCTGAAAATCCTTAAATGTCCTCAAACTGTAACGACGAATGTATATTTAGAGCCAAAGACTAAGATAAATTCAAAACAGGCAACATTTATGCTAGTAATTAGAATCTTCTTCAGTCTCTTTCACTTGCCGTGTCAATCTTAAATCCCTAGTTAAGAGTTGGAACCCACACGAATTTATACACAACAAGAATGTGGTGTATAGATATGTTTTGGAATCCATTTTTCTTGATATTCCAGTTTTATCTATAAAAAAAGCCATAATTGCCCTTGTCGTTATTTAGTACAAAGTTGAAGATTATTTAATCTGGTTGGTACGAAACTTCTAGCTTTATTAGTCCAATAAGTGTATCTGTAAATTGCTTGTATGAAAACACACTCGGTGTATCTGTTTCAGAGGTCTTAAGTAGTTGGTACTTTAGCTATATGGCATTTTTTCTCATGCTCAATCCTCTTTCTGCATTGGATGTCTAAGGATTTCTTCCCTTGTTTGCTAAATAGGAATCGTGGTTACAAATGATGGAAATGCCATTCTGCGTGAATTAGATATCGCCCACCCTGCTGCAAAGGCATGGAACATCTCTCTTACTGTGCCTCAATTTGTTTCTATTTCTTCTCAAATTTTGTTTTGGACTTTAAAACATGTTTTATATTTTCGATTCTTATTATTTCTGATCTGTTTTCTCCATATTCTATTGCTGGCAGTCAATGATTGAACTAAGCCGTACACAGGACGAAGAAGTAGGAGATGGAACGACGTCTGTTATCGTTCTTGGTATGTTATGAGTGTAGAATATTAGGAGCTTATCATCTCTTTCACATCTGTGGTAGGTTCTTGCCATAAGATTATTTGCAAACTCTCGATGTATCGAGTGGCAAAAGCAGAGTTCTTACCCAAGCATTGCTTTTGTGAACTTGGCATCATAACATGCCCAGATAACCAAACATCATTTCTTCTGTCTCTGACATCTGGCTTAAAAATTTTGCTGTAGCTGGTGAAATGCTCCATGTTGCAGAAGCATTTATTGACAAAAATTATCATCCTACAGTTATTTGCCGAGGTAATGTTATAATAGCTTGTGGTAATATTTTATTGATGATGGTTCACTACTCTGTCTTTATTCATGTTTTATTTGATATTCAGCCTACAGTAAAGCTCTAGAGGATGCTATCGCTGCGCTTGACAAAATTGCTATGCCCATTGACGCGAAGGATCGTAAGTTTTCTTAAAACTCGCCCTTTGCGATTTGTTTTTTAATATTATCTTCTTCTAATTGAGGATATCTGGAAGACAATATATTTTTTTTAAATGAGGAAAAGGGTGTGTAAAAAGGTTGATAGATTTGAGTTGGTTCGTATGGTACAAGTGATTTATGGAACTATTTATCAGGTGCGACAATGTTGGAGCTGGTTAAGAGCTGTATAGGCACAAAATTCACAAGTCAATTTGGAGATCTGATTGCTGTATGTATTTTCCGCTATTTTTTTAAATTAATTTGCTTGTCTGGTCATGTGGACTAGTTGAGACAAGATGCTGACTCGTGCATTTCTTCTTAGTATCGAATGTCAACTCTTTCTCTGTTTCTTTGGCGTAGGATCTAGCAATTGATGCCACCACAACAGTGGGAGTTGATCTTGGCCAAGGGTTGCGGGAAGTAGACATCAAGAAGTACATTAAGGTCGAGAAGGTACCCGGTGGACAGTTGGAAGATTCCAAAGTACTTAAAGGAGTAATGTTTAACAAAGATGTTGTTGCTCCTGGAAAGATGAGAAGAAAGATTGTTCACCCACGTATCATACTTCTTGATTGTCCCCTTGAATACAAAAAAGGTGAGAACCAAACAAATGCTGAACTAGTCAGAGAAGAAGACTGGGAAGTCCTATTGAAGATGGAAGAAGAATACATTGAGAACCTCTGTGCACAGATTATTAAGTTCAAACCAGACTTGGTAATCACGGAGAAAGGCCTTAGTGACTTGGCATGTCATTATATGAGTAAAGCCGGTATTAGTGCTATCAGGAGGTTGAGGAAGACAGATAATAACAGGATAGCTAAGGCCTGTGGTGCGGTTATTGTCAACAGACCAGATGAACTGCAAGAGTCTGATGTTGGTACTGGAGCTGGGCTGTTTGAGGTTAAGAAGATAGGAGATGAGTTTTTCACTTTCATTGTTGATTGCAAAGATCCTAAAGCTTGTACTGTACTACTTAGAGGTGCGAGTAAGGATCTGTTGAATGAAGTTGAAAGAAACTTACAGGTATTTACATGAGGACATATTCCATATTCAAATGTTATTTTCTGGGTAAGATAATACGCTGATGCTTGTTTTGGTTGCAGGATGCAATGTCTGTAGCAAGGAACATCATAAAAAATCCTAAGCTTGTACCTGGAGGTGGTGCTACAGAGTTAACTGTATCTGCTACTTTAAAGCAAAAGAGTTCATCTATTGAAGGCATTGAAAAGGTAAAATATTGCTCTTTTTTCCCCTATGTGATACTTGGTAATTGGTATTGCAATCTTTGAGCTTTTGAAATCAGAAATAGCCTGTTGGTTCACCTGCTATGTTATTTCTTTTGCTCATGTTTGCCAAATTTGGCCTTAATGAACTGCTTGTTCATCTTTTTATTGTTATGCAACAGTGGCCTTACGAAGCCGCCGCTATAGCTTTTGAGGCTATACCACGAACGCTAGCTCAGAATTGTGGGGTCAATGTGATCAGGACAATGACTGCGCTGCAAGGAAAGGTAGGAAGTAGTTTGTATGTTGTTTTCTGAAATAATTTTTCTATTCCGAGTTATATTGATTTTTTTCTTTCTATCTTTTTGTACTAATTGTTGTTTCAGCATGCAAATGGTGAAAATGCATGGATTGGCATAGATGGAAACACTGGTGCAATTACTGACATGAAAGAACGGAAGGTATGGCCATGCTTTCCCGTTTATCTTGCTAAATTTGTCGTTACTTTGTATTTGGCCAAAGAAAAGGGTATAACTAAAAAAGTGTAATCATTAGATCAAATATGCGGGTAAAGACTCACATGGTTCTCTGTAAAGACTTATTACATGGTTCTCTAATTCAGAAATTAATCACCAATATAGCAAATTGCTCTGGATAATTAATGACATGTGCTATGTCATCAGATATGGGATGCCTACAATGTAAAGGCACAGACCTTTAAGACAGCTATTGAAGCCGCGTGCATGCTTCTGAGGATAGACGACATTGTGAGCGGCATTAAGAAGAAGCAAGCTCCTGGAGCCTCAGCTCCATCAAAGCCTCAAATCGAAACAGAAGCAGATGCCGACAATGAGCAAATTCTTCCCGACTAAGATATTGAACCGAGATAGTTGAGTTGAATTGCTTTGAAGTATTTGACCAAAGTGCCTGTTGGTTTTTCTTTTTTGGCTAGAAAAGAAGTGCATGTTTGGTTTTAGTGGCTTTACATGGGTTTTGTTGAGTTTTCTTTGAGCTGTAGTTAAAAAATTTTGGGCCTTCCAACTCACCTTTGCTGTTGTTTGGATTAAGAGGGATATTGTAAGCTAAAATTCACTTCAATTTGGATTTATTGCTTGAAAGTTTCCTCATTACGATTTCTTTTTATGATATTTCGAAAGTGAATGCTCGTGCAACTTTATAGCATTGTGGCTCCTATGATTAGCCTTTGGGAAAACTCTTCATCAATTGCCAACCAAATGCAAAAATAGATAAATCAATATTTACAATAAATAAATAAAATTGAAGTTCCAAAATTTTAACCAGCATATCATCCCAATAATATCATGATTCAAGCCTTGCAAGTGTCAAATGACATTCGTGAACTTGGCTTCTTCAACTTTGACAAAATTTGTTTCAGGAAACATAAACAAGTTCTATAAGATGCTTGGATATCAGGAAAAAATTAGTCTAATTTGAATTATGCAGTCTTTACCATGAAAATTTTTCCTAAAAGTACTTTTTTGATGGAAGAATTTTCCTAAAGGTTGCTTCTCTAAGGTCTGTATTATGAGCATAATTAAGTATATGACGTTATAATATGGTTATTGTCAATGTACTGCATTGAGGATCGTCTGTTGTATCTTATGGACTTAACATAGGTCACAGCCCTCACGACATAAGATTGAAAGATCTAAACCTTCTTCTTCGGAGCGGAAACAGACGTGGCCAAAACATATAAAGATCGGCGTAGTTGCCCATAGGAACATATCTATCCGGATAGAGGATAGTCTAGATTGATTCATAGATAGATTTCTATCCATATAGATATGTATTTTCATGGATAGAGATAAAGATGGGGATCCATCTAGATCTTGATTCCCTCTTTCCATTTTTTTTTTATTGCCTTTTTTTTTACGACGTTTTAAATCTTAATGTAGGTAAAGAAACATCGGCGGTGTTTGGAGTTGTTTTTGTTTTTGTTTTTAACGTTTTTCGAGAAAAAAAAAATGAAAACGGGAGAGAAACGGTATTTGACACAATTAAAGACAAAAAACAGAAATGAAAACGATTTTTTGGTTTAGTATAAAATGGGAGAGAAATGAAAAACGACTTTTAGTCGTTTTTCATTTTTTATTATTTATGTTTTCTCTTCTCTCGAGTAGAGAGAGAGACATTAATGGATTTTTTTTTTTTACTGAAAACAATCTCTTGATAAAACTACCAAACGCATTTTTAAAAATGATTTCTGTCTGAGATTGAAAATGTTTTCATTTTTATTTTTATACAGAAAATAAAATTATTTTGGAACGGGTTCTAAACGCACCCATCATTTTTTAATTATTACTTACTGGGTCGGAGCTTAAATGAGCGAGTAGAGCCCTGTCTCAAGTCCCTCTATGTATACTATTTATCAAGTGATCATCATGGTTGATTGAACAGATCTTGCAAATTGTAACAGATCTATTTTCGAACTTTCTTAAAAAATAATATATATATAAAAAGAAGCTTCTGTTAGAAAGAGAGATAGAGGCTATATATATATATATTCTCCTCACCTAATGAAGATCCTAGTGGTATGAAAGCAATAGAATAGTGGTTGGATCATGATTACATAAAATTTCCCACAAATTGCATAAGACGATGAGGCCAAGATGTTAGCCTTTCAACTGATCCTAACCTCCATTTTCATGCTTTTACAAAGGTAACCACTAGTCACTACACAACTATTTACAATGCTTTAGCTTCACTCCTACTCAAACCACCCATAAAATATTCCCACAGAAAAACCTTCTCATAATCCTCATCTTCACTCTGTTTGTAACCATTGCTTCTACTCTTTAATCTCACCGATAATTACCCCGCTCTCTCGTTCTCTTTCCCTCATGAGTTTAGCACCATCTCCTTCAAGCACAATGAAAGCTCCAAGAGGAAAGATTCCTCTTCCTATAATCACCACCCTAATCTGTGTTATTGCCTTCATTGCTCTCCTCTACACTGAGAGGCTCAACTTCCTTTCTTCAAACTCAATTCTCAAAGTCAAGTCCTGTTCTAGAAGAGATGCCTTCAAAAAATCAAGTAAGTCCTTCCAATTACACCTTTCTTTGGTACAACTTTTTGCTTGGACTTTTTCCATTCAATCAATCTAAGGGTCTAATGCTTTGTTATCTAACAGATGACAGGATAGAGGATAATGATGAGTCCCTTATAGATGATAGGTTCGATTTTGATCCAGAAGAGTGCAATGTTGCCAATGGGAAGTGGGTCTTCAACAGTTCCCTTGAACCTTTGTACACGGATAGAAGCTGTACATACCTTGATAGACAAGTGTCTTGTGTCAAAAATGGACGGCCCGATACCAACTACCGTCACTGGGAATGGCAGCCGGAAGATTGCACCCTGCCAAGGTTAGTTCAGGAGTTGGCACCACTTTGATATTTCCATATGCAAGTGTTTTTGTCAACTCTTAACATGCTCATTGCATATAATTGTTGTGCATGGATTTTCCATTTAGCTAATACTTATCCCTGAAACCATTTTGTCTATAGCTTTAGTCCAGAACTTGCCCTTAAGAAACTTAGAGGAAAGAGGCTATTGTTTGTTGGGGATTCATTACAAAGAGGTCAATGGCAATCTTTTGTTTGCTTGGTTGAGTCAATCATACCTGAAGATCAAAAGTCCATGAAAAGTGGACGCTCTCATTCAGTCTTCAAAGCAAAGGTACAATCATAGGCAATGAGCTGGTATTAGAAAGTTCTGAAGCAATGTCAAAGATTACTTTTGAATTATTTACTTATTATTAACTTTTCTCTCCACAAGTATAGGAGTATAATGCCACCATTGAATTCTACTGGGCCCCATTTCTGGTTGAGTCCAACACTGATCTCAAAATAATAGCAGATCCAAAGAAAAGGATACTAAAAGTGGATTCAGTTGCCAAGCATGCCAAAAACTGGATGGGAGTGGATATCCTTGTGTTTAATACTTATGTTTGGTGGATGAGTGGTCTGAAGATCAAGTCCTTGTAAGTTCTATTTGAACATATTGAAATTTTGCTAAATTAACTTCCTTTTGTTTTATCTGCTACGAATTTCTATATTCTCAAATAATAATAACAATGCCAAATTTGGCACAGATGGGGTTCGTTTGCAAATGGGGAAGAAGGATATGAAGAGCTGGAGGCATCAGTAGCTTACAGAATAGGTTTGAAAACATGGGCAAATTGGGTTGACTCAACTGTTAATCCAAACAAGACCAGAGTCTTCTTCACAACTATGTCCCCTACACATCAGAGGTCTCTCTCACTTTTCTCCATTTTCTTCCTAAAGCTTGTTGATCAAGCAATTACTTCATTATTTCATTTACCACTTCATTACTTGATCAAGCAATCCTTGTGTTTTCAGAAGCGCGGACTGGAACCACAAGGGTGGAATTAAGTGCTTCAACGACACAAAGCCGGTCACTAAGAAGGGTCACTGGGGAACCGGTTCAGACAAACAGATAATGAAAGTGGTGGCGGATGTAGTTGAGAGAATGAAAGTTCCTGTTTCCGTCATCAACGTCACACAGATTTCTGAGTACAGAGTCGATGCTCACACGTCTGTTTACACAGAGACTGGAGGCAAACTGTTGACTGATGAGCAAAAGGCTGATCCTCTACACCATGCAGATTGTATACATTGGTGTCTGCCTGGAGTACCAGATACTTGGAATCAAATTCTTTTGGCAAATTTGTAACATGTCGCATAATTCGCAACTTTCGCACTTTTTTACGTCACAATGTGTTGAGACAAAAATGATCCAATTATACACAACGCCTGACTTCACTCGTGCGTTCAAAATTCATTAAAGAAATGTTGCTCTTCTTGTGAACTTTTTTTTTTTTTCCCTTTTTTCTTTGATAATGTCAAAGTAACTAAAAATAAGTTCTCAAGGCCAGTGGAGAAGAGAAAAGGCTAAATTTTACGTTACTTGTTATTTAGCCGAAGAAAAAGGGGTGATTTATAGGTTCATATGTTTAGTTAAACTTGACCAGACAATATGAATATAACAGAACCTTTGGTGTAACTTTTAAGAAGAAAGATCAAGGGAGAACAAGGAAAAAAAGCTCAATCGTTTGATCAAATATACAGGCCAGAACTTAATCATAATATAGCAAATTGTTCTGGATTATTGTTGACGTGTGCATATGAACATCTCAATATGAAACATTAGCCATGGGTTAGCCTCTGAGAAAATTCATCATCAATTGCAAGGTCAAAACTTTTGTGATTATAGAACTCTTTGATTGGATAAAAGAAAAAAATGTATTGTACAAAACCATCCTTTAAAAAATTTTGTTAAATTCGCATTTTTCTTTTCAAAATTTGATATGATTTATTGAGTTTCAACTGGTTAGAGCCGGTAAGGTATTTTTTAACCTCCCTACTTTTGGATTTCTGATTCCACCAAAAGCAGTTTCACCCATTTAGTTATTCATCTTTTCGGGAATATACCTCATGGAATGGACACCCCGTGATACATAAGAACAACTTTTTGTAAATATAAACATTTGCTGATTTAATATAGAGAGAGAGTACAAATGAAATATATATCATGCACGAAACTAGTCCCACAACCAGTTTAAAACCGGAATGGTGTGGGACCCTGCATGCCCATACAGTTCAAATATGACTTTCTGATACTAAGAATTACGCTGGAATAGCAATTCTGCTAAAATCATCAATGCCGATTCACATCTGCCTGACAAAACTTTGTTGTGCATTACACTGAATTTTGGTCCACCACCTTTTCTTTCTTCCAAGTAATCCATTTGGTTACCACTTACTATACCACCAAACTAGCACCACCAAGACCCCTTTCTCCCTTTCGTTGGTGTCCAATTATTGGTATACTATATTATTAATGAAATTGTGAGATAGAAGATTTGTCAAACTTTGGAGAAGTCGTAGTTTTAATGGGTGCCCAGATATCTGCACCATTACTACGAGCAACTCCAAGAGTAGATGACACAGGAACAAGACACAAACCCCTGCTTCTCAAGCTGTACGGCTCTAGTTCCTGAAAATAAAAATAATAAATCAAATTCCCTCATTCATAGCTGACAAGGTTTGACAAATTATGGTCTCATTAAATGGCACTTGGGTTTATAAAAAAAAAAAAATATATATATATATATATGTGTGTTTTTTCACAATAGGTAGGTACACCACTTGCATGGATGCTGATCTCATATTAAACTTGTGGGGTCACAAAACACTATCCAATTCTATGTGTTATCATTAGATGTCTCCATTAAGGGACGCATTGGTTGAGAAGTCAAAGTGTTGAGATACAATCAATCAATTTCAAGTTCATGGGATCTTCAGTTGCCATTTATGAAGGTAATCGAATATTTCATCTTGATCTAAAGTCCAAACTAAAACTTTACCTGCATCTTATTTGTGGGTGTGCTTTGGAGGTATGGAGCACTTAACACCTAAAGGCACCAAAAAGACAAAAAAACGCGATTAGAACAAGGGCAAAACTGCACTTCTAGTCCGCAAATAAAAAACTGGTAAGAAAAAAGGTTACTTTACTGATTCAACTCGTGCATAGAAACGAGGCCAAACCTTAACTTGTTCATGAAGGAATTGTATGTATTCCATTGCCTCCAGAAGGACAGAAGCTGTATCAGTCTGCGGGGAAAGCACATGAAACAATGGCCCGGGTCAAGAAAAATAGATTTTGAAATTGATACATTATAAAATCGGGATCTTTCTTTTTTATTATTCGATATATTTACCTTTCCATATGGTGACACCAACTGTTGTAGAGCTACAATCTTTGCCCCGAGGTTCTCTTTTCTCTCCTAAATGCCAGACAAAGTAAGAAAAATAAGCAATTCGCAAACCGCGCATGATAATACATAAATATATATATATATATATATATCCACCCCCAAAGGGTAAAATGTACAAGAGAGTGATTAAGGGAACTTTGAGTAACAACAACTGCATAACTGTCTAATATTTTTAGAAATTTGCAACTGCACAGACTCATTAAAAATAATTGCCACAAGAAGCATCATCCTTCCAAGGCCTTTTCTCCAAAACAAACACTATCCAAGGTGAATTATTAAGTGCCAAGGGACATAGAGACTTAAAAAAATAAAATTAAAAAAAAAGATATTTCTAACACTTCAAAACAGAATGAAAAGCTACTCTTGGTCCAAGATGTGTGAGTGCGATATCCAGAAACAAAAAAGTTTTTTAAAATGGAGAAATAAGAGAACGAAAGAGTAAATACCTTAGTGGAGATAGATAAATCCGGCTTATGTCGCTTGGATGCAAGAGAGGTGAAGCTGCTTTGGTCGACAGAGCAGGGGCTCCTTTTTTGTTCTGTCATCTTTCTCACATCTATCCCTTCTTCCCCCTATTTTAACATTGAAAAAAGAATCACCTAAGAAACTCAATAGAAAACTCAATTTAAGTAAATATTTGCAGAATACATCTCATAATCATATTATCCGAACAAGCCAGTCGTATAATTAAGCATACACCTCCATCATAATATTGGCATTAGAGGATATCTTCATACAAGGAAGGAAAAAAGTAATAGACATTAAAGCATTAAGCAAAAAGCTCCCACAAGTATCCATATATTAATGGTCTATATTATTAGCCAATGCCATGGATCAGTTCCAAAACTAAAACGAATTGACACTCTCAATAGTTAATTATACTCCTAAAACTGTTGTCATCTTGCTTTTGACATGATTTGACAAAAATCAAACACACTACATGCATGATGAGCTGAAAACAAGCCTTACTAGAAATACAGAAATGACTCGATTTCAAACTGTTTTGATGTCTGCACTCTACCATGATTCTAAATTCGAGGTAATACAGATCTAAACCAAGAAAATGCAACCAAATAGCACGTTCCTAGAAACAGTTAGTCATGGAAAATCATCCAACTGGTCTAAGTTGCCGGAAGCCAACCGTGTGCGATATCCGAAGGAATAAAATAACAAGAACGGTTGACCAACTTGTGATCTTGATCTTGACAATAGAAGCATCCAAGAAAGAACAACTCCTTATAGTTCAAATAACAAGAAGTTTTCAATGCAATTTTGTTCTCATATACCTTAAGAGAATCAAAATATTTTAGTCCACCACAAAGGATAAGCGTGCAAAAACTCGTGATATTAATCTTTGTTTGACAATGTTTTCTGTGATAAACAAAAGGACATGCGCTGTTCTGGGGTCAGCGGCTAATCCTTCATTCAGTTCACTACTTAGAATACTCATTTAATATTAAGCACAAAATTAAATGATCTTGCCAACAACTGCATAATTACAAAATAATATCACTCAATTATTAATAATTTGTAGGCACACAAAAGGACAATTGGTCCGTGAATCAATGAAACAACACAAAGACCTACTTATATTACAATACTTATTTTTTAATTAAAAAATGCATGGATTTGCTACAGTAGGCAGTCCTTTGGAATGGACTAAAGGTAATCTTTAATTAATTAATCCACTGACATCAACTATCCAACCAGACGAGTATAATAAAATGGGGTTTTGGTATATCAAAGAAAACAAAGATTTTTTTTTTAAGCATACTATTATTCTTTACCAAACATCACATTAGATTAGATTAGCAAAAACACATCACATTAGATTAGTATCATAAATCACAAAAACTAAAAATTAAAAATTAAAAATTTTTCTATGAAGAGTAAATGGGAACAAACTAAAAAAATTGAAATAAATTGGTGGGTCCAGATTAGAAATCTACCATGAATGCATGAAATGAACAACCCATAAACACAATCTTTCACCTCACTTTCATTTAATGTCCTAGAATATTTTTGTACTGGTACAAACTAGCACAGGACTTTTGTACATTTTTTCATACTAGTACATAGCATGCATACATACATAGCAATATATTTTGTATATTTCCTAAAAAAAATAGATATATAGGATTAATATAAAAACAAGGAAAAAGGTGAAGGAAAACAAATTAATCGTACTAGGACACGAGTGTTATGTTATGAAAGAAAAAGAACAAATAATGCCATAGAGCAAGAGAGATTTCTGATAAAAGTGACCAATAAAATCCCAACTATACTAAAACATTAAAAAAAAAAAAAAAAAAAAAAGCAGTGGTACAAAAAGATGAACTTTCCATTTCAAAAAAAAAAAAAAGAAAAGAAAAGATGAACTTTATTTCCTCCAAAAAAGAAAAAAGATGATTTCTTTCACATTGATAAAAACAATTCCATATGGATAAAGAGCAAAACCACCAAAAAGAAATTGGCAATACAAAATATATATATATATATATATATATGAATTTCTTCAATTCTTCTATACAAAAAGTACTCACCGAGAATTTAGTTCCTGCATTACAAAGAGAGCTCACAATCATCTATGGAAGTTCTTTCTTAAGCCAAAATCTCCAAAACCCACTTCCCAAAATCACCGAAGCTTATTGAAGAGTCGGTTTACGGTTAAATAACGACCGACGCAGTTACGAAAAATCTCTTCTTTCCTTGTCTCTCTGTTAGTTTCGGAAACTTTTTTTTTTTTTTTGGGTTTCTGAAGTTCTAGGAAGTATCTCACTTTTCCAAGTTGGGAGCTTTTTATACACACGAACTTTGAGCAATTAGGTATTTATTCAGCGAAGAAGAAAATCATCAGAAGTTTAGTGGTTCAATTCAATCCATGAACATGCAAAACGGAAAAAGAAAAACAAAAACTCGGAGTTCAGCATAACTAGAAAATGGGTGTCCGAGAAAGTTTCAGAGTGAGAAAACGAAAGAGAGAGAGAGAGCGAGAGAGAGAGTGTGTGTGTGGAAACTGGGAAGGGGAGGGGGCAAAGGGATTTTAAAAGTGCTTTTATAAAGTGAAAATGGAAATGCTGGACAAGGAAATTTTCTCAAAACAAAAATAGAATACTATTTCCTTTTCCTTTTGTTGGTTTTTTATTTTTTTAAATGAATAAGAATTATAATTTGACAGCTAATATCCAGCCAGAGAGAAAAGAAGTCAGAAAGTGGTTAATTTAACCTAAGATGAAGTCATTTTTCTAACCATGGTTGAGTCATGGATTCTATTTTTTGCTTGGCTTTGTTTATGTTAAGCACTTTTTAATAGGCGTAAAAATTACAAAATTCCTAAGTGAAATCCAATTTTAAATTATCAATAATCAATAATGACAAAAACATCCCTTCATATGGTTAATTGATTAGAAAAGTTCCAATCTTGTCATCGAGTCCCATTTATAAAAATTAAATGGGAAAAAATAAAAAATAAAAGCCACTCAAAATAATAAAAAAATATTATTTATATAATTCAATTAAAAAATAAATAATTATCATTTAATTTATTAATAAAAGAATAAAAAATACGATATCAACTAATCATTTAAAATGACTTAAATAATAGACATGCATTAAACCATAATAAATCATATATTTTTTTTAAATTTAAATATCAATATTAACTTTATAATTGGCACAAAAATAAATTAGTAACAATAAAGTGCATTATCCAATATTAAATTTACTCTCCGTCTTATACCAATTTAGGAATGGCAAATTGTATGAGTAAGAAATGACCGGACACAATTAGGCCTCAACAAGTCCCGTTTGGTTGGAGGATTCGTTCTCTGATTCGAATCATGGTTCATGGTTCGTTATAGTATTTTCTCTTACAAAAAACACACGTAAATCGAAAATGATTCTAATCTATGAACCAAACGGGTAATTACAAAACATAAAACAGATATTGGTGGGTTGATAAAAAAGAAGAACTATAACCCAAGCAACCTAATTAGTGAAAGATAATAAGATGATTTATAACGGTCACTAATCCGTCAATTACAACTAAATCAAGAGAAATTTATAAAAATAATCATTATTTTTCATCATCTTATTATTTGCGTTAAAAATATTTTGGTAGACTATAAAATATATTTTAATAGAAAACAAAAAATATCCTACCAAAAAATATATTCTAATATAATATAAAAAATACCTTACATAAATGTTAAATTTAAAATTGATGTCATAAATAAAATAGTGTTGTTATTTTCATGGCATTTTAAAAAAAAAAATTCCTAAATCGAATATATGAGTTATATAGCTAGCAAGGCCATTAATTTACGAATTTCCATGCCAAACAAATAAAAATATTGAACACGTGGATACATACTTGTGCGAATAATACGTGTTATGCAGGTTAATCTTAAATTGTATGTAGATCTTAAACTCATCCGCTTATTATATGTATTATATGAATTCCAAAATATGGACGCAAAAAATAAACGCTAATACAAATCCATTTAATATTTCATATTGTTTTTAAGTCGTCGCCTAATTCCTAAAAGTTTTTTATGTACTAAAAAATGTTCAATTTTTTTTTAATGCACTCAAAATGTCCAATTTTGAGGCTTAGAATAGAATCTTTGGCCTTTATAGTAAAAACCAACAACTAATTTCTAATAATACTGTTGGTCTATGGACTACTTGTGGTCTTAACTTTTTCCTTATTATTTAGAAAACTTATATATGATATTGTCGTTAGGGACACAAGAGGTTCAAACTGTTACGAAAAATCCTTGTTAGGACTCATAAACAGAAAATAAATAGTTAAAAGAAGGGACTCGTGATAATTAAGCTTGGTTAGCTCTTATACCAAGAAAGAGTAACGCATAAATGTCTATCAACAATTCTAGGAAAAATGTCTATGAATCAACATATGAATGTTATCCTATAAGTATGAATTATTACTTAAAATTCATCTCTAGAGAATTCATATTTCCTCACATAAGTTATAGGATATTTTTCATGCAGAACTAATAAATTTGATTTATTGATCATTAGTTAGACAATTTCTTCTATAACCACCCCCATTTTAGAAGTTGGAATTTAATGATCAAATAGATAGTAAACAGTTACGAAGATCAAGAACAAGAAGAATATCAGCTCAGAATTCTCTAATGAAGCTATGGTATTAATTTAATTTATTGTTTTTCTTGTTAAACGAGAAGCTAGAAAAAAGTATTATGCAAATCTATGTAGAAGCAACAAAAACTTGGTAGTGTTAGGCCCCGTTCACTTCACCGATTCGAGTTTAGAATTCGAGTTTTACTACAGTAAAAAGCTCTCAGAAACAGTCACATCTAACTTTTTTACTACAGTAAAAAGCTTTAACATAAAGTCACATTTCAACGCGAATTAAAAACTCGAATCAGCGAACTAAACGGGCCCTAACTTGGTTTTCATGCCCTCGCTCAAAAAAAAAAAAAAAATATATATATATATATATATATATTCATATATCATACTCTAACTTTAAAAAGTTATGGCTCGTGGTGGATGCTTATCTTTTTAACGTTTTTAAGTTGTGTAAATTAAAGCTGAGATATATTTTGGGAATTAAAACAAGTGTAGAGTGTTTGTTTTTGGTGTTTTGTATATATGCTTCTTTCTTTTCAAAAGTGAAGATATAATTAAAAAGAAAAAAAAAAAAAAGAGATCAGTTGCGCCATTAGAACTAGAAATCGTGCTTTTGTTAGCTTTTCAAACTGGGAAAAAGAAGTACGTTGTTTCTTTGTCGCTCGAAGCTAATCTTTTAGTGCCCTTTGCATGCAAAAAGGATTCCGCTACCAAGAATGAGAATTGAGAATGGATTCAAAAAATGAAAAAAAAAAAAAAAAAAGAAGAGGAGAGAGAGAGTTTTTGGTTTGATAATGTATGTTTCTGATTATTAAATTTGATAAAAATAACATCAAAATGAAAAACATGTAAAATTATTTTTGACGTAGATTTTATGGTTCAAAAACAACACTTATATAATTACCGTGTTTTTGTGCATATATATATATATATATATACACACACACACACACACACACAACACACTAACATGATATTCTCGTTGTTTTATTGTATTATGAGTTGCTTTGTTTGTCTTTGCAGCATAAGAGCTCAAACAATACTTTTTTGCATGAACAGTTTTTTAATATTTTTTAGCAAGTTATTTGTATGTATAATCATTAAAATATATATATATATATATTTTCTAATTTTTTGGAGCGTTATGAAAATCTAATCCAGAATACACAATATTGATATATTCTTTGAATCCTATCAAATAATAGTCTTTAAACAATGTAAAAATATTTATGCATTAGGGAATAGTCATCAATGAATGAATCAATAAGGAAAATAACACACACATCAAAAGGAAAAATATGGCTATAGGTTTCCATTCTAAGTGATAAGTCTAATCTCAAATCTGAATGATAAACAAATTAAGCCACAAAAGATTGCAGTTTAATGTAATAAATTAAATACTAAACCAACAAATAAAATTACCATATGCATATATATGTCGTATTTGGACATTGTGTCATCGATATTATTATATATATATATATATATTTGTGTCGTACCAAATCCAAAAACAATATGAAGTTGAATGTTAGTATCGTTTTGAGATCTATATAAATAATCTAAATTCCTATCAGATTCTCATATCTACCACCCCAAACGCGGCTTGCGTAGGGGCTAAAAGTTAAGAAAAAAGTCATAAACATAGAAAGCGAAATGGACCTGAATAATTTGCTGTCTGTCTGTTATTGTAAATGTTCAGTCACATTCAAAATCTTAATATTAAAATAATAAACAGAAGAAGAAAAACTATATAAAAAGGAAAGAAGAGTGCGTATTTGTGTAGTAGGGATTAAAAAAAAAAAGAAAATTATCTAGTTCTAGCTCTTCTGTGTCTAAAAAAAAATAGCACTACAAATAATAGAAATCTCCTTTTTCTTTTCATGAAAGTCTTTATACAGAAATTTTATAACATAGTTCGTACTGTCACACAACGACACGTGATTTAGAGTTTCATCAGTAAAATAAAATAAAAAAGAATAAATTTCATTAGCGAGACTAGAACTAACAGTAGTAATCTCTACCAATAACTCTCAATAGTGGTGGTATAACAACAAAAAGACGATTTAATATGATCAATTCCATTTGTTTGTAATAGGATTGAAATTATATCTCTATCGCATTGTCGAATGTATTTTGGACGTTTTAAATGCTAATTGATAACAACTTTTCCTTACATTTTTTATATGATCCCACTAGATTATTAATGCCTCTTTCATTTTACCGATTCGAGTTTTCAGTTTTAAATTTTTACAGTAAAAAATTCTCAAAAAATGTCATATCTAATTTTTTTATTACAGTAAAAAATTTTAAAAAATTATTACATCTCAACTCGAATTCGTAAAATGAACGAGGTCGAATCTATAAAGTGAACGAGATTAAGTGACGGTTGCATGATATCATTGATTTGTTTTTTATTTTTTGAAAAATTTGTAATAAACTACACGTGATATTGTGACTCGCAATTCCAAGAGAACACGTAAGTAAAGACAGAGATACAATAATAACAAGAATTTTGTATTATATAACATCCGATATATATATATATAATCTGAATAGGGCGGGAATTCGCTGTCGGAGCAGTTTTCTGACCTTTCTCTACTCAGGTGATCGCTTCCCGATAACCCGGTCCCACATTCCTTCTTCCACCGTCAGTAGGCCGGCGCGTTGCTCGACACGCGTCGTTGCAAAGAGGGAGCGTGTGATTAGGATTGGCGGATTGAGGGAGAGATTTAGGGAGGGAAAGAAGAGTGTTTAGTGTGGGGCCCAAGTGGAAGGGAGGGTACTGAACGTAGGTTGGACCGTGCGAGGAAAAAGTCGAGAGAATTTTTTGTTTTTTTTGTTTTTTTTGTTTTTTGGTGTAAAAGAACGTGGGACCCACACGGTTTTGTACTCTTGTCTACTTATGCCTCCGAGACTCCGACTATCCTATAAACCCACTCTCCCATCTCCAATTACGTATCACCATTGTCTTTGTTTTTGTTTTTTCTAATTTTTGTTCAAAAATAGACCTCCGTTACGGTCCCACGGCTAATTCGGTCCCACCATAATAACATATAAAATGATATTTATTTAACGTAATACAAATATTATTTAGAATAACATGAATTTATTTAACTTAATACAGATATTAGAAAAATATAACACTAAATTTAACTATCTCATACTATTGTTACACTTTAATTTGACTATTTAACATAATACGAATGTAATAATAACCGGAGATAATTAATTATTTTAGTGTCTCACATTTTTAACGTGAGTGTTGCATGAAATAAATATCATGTAATGTGTTCACTTTTATATGTTACGATGATGAGATTGTTCCACTGGTGGGATCGTAAATATTTACAAATTTATCAACTATGGCTAATTAGTAAACTTAGATTAGATATCATATTTAGACTATTCGACTAATTATGATTATGATTTCAAACACCGGCAATCACGACTTTTACTTCCGTTCTTCAATTACTAATAGTTTACAAATTTAGACTTATGCAATTATACAGATATGAGTATTAATTATCTGTTAATTTACCCAAGAGCTTATTAACAATACATCTACAACAATTATTCAAGTTTACTTTACTTAATTGTTTTATATTATAGTATAGAACAGGGTTAATTAAGCTGGGTGGTTGATCAGTCCACTCTGATTGTTTACTTTTAAGGCATATTTAGCATTGGTTTGAATTTCACTACAATTGAAAAGCCACCGGGGATTGTGGCACAAAACATGGACTTTTATTTCTCTCTTTTTATCGTGTGTGATGGAAAGGAAAACGACATCAAATCTAAGTTTTGAGTGGTCCAAGATTCATCACTGGTCATTATATTATACTTTACTAACAAATTACGCGTATGATTTTAGGGTTTCTAGTTTAATACCATTGGTATTTATCATAAGTTCCTCATCAATTAACAGGACATTGTTTTTATCATATTAAACACTAAAAATTCCCACTTGATAAATTAGATGGCCATAAAATAAATACACACAACTCTTAACAATCTATTAAAAATGATATATTCAGATTAATAACAATGTACATTCAGTTCCCTAATATTATTTTATGAGAAAAGAAATATCTATTTTTGGATGAGTTCAAGACTAAAGAAACTTTCATAATCTTCTATTCTATGTCATAACCGTGTTTAACAATGTACGATTAGGAACGGTTGTTAATAATAATAATATTATTAAATAAACGTTTTGACGAAGAACAATATACATTCAATTTACCACCATTATTTTATAGGAAAGGAACTTCATAATCTTCTGCTTCTTCCTAAACTACAACTAAAACATAATTAAATTAGTCTCTAATCTCGGGGGTCGGTGGCGTTCAACTGAGTTTGTGTGCGTAGTCAAATTAACTGCTGAAACTAATTTAGCAAATAGGAAAAAATCAGCAATCACGGGGAAGCAAAGATTAAAGAATATGGATTAATATTGGTTTAGATTGTTCTGTGATCTAATTATAAATTGTAAGTTGGCCTAATTAATTAACTATTTTTCTTGAGTGTGTTTCACTTTGACTAGCCCCTTTTCAAGGGATATATACAAGGACTACAACAATAATTCACACAAAATATCACAATCACTTAAAAACAATTTAAAAGTTACGTTAAGGCCATAATATTCATTAATAAGCGTCCAAGCAATGTCAGTATCAATCAAATAAGAAATACATGCATAGACTTCAAGGCAATTTTGGAGTGCTCATTTTTTTTTTTTTTTTTTTTTTTCAATTACTATATAATAACTTTAAATTTTAAATTTTGTCATTTGATTACACCAACAACTTTAAATTTTGTCAAGACAAACTCTCTTCTTCTCTTTTCCTTTCCTTTCAAGACTTTAACAAAAATCACCAATATCTTTTCATGGCTGTTTAATAAAGTCAAAGCTGTCAGCTAAATTAAGTATCCTTTTTCAATATTCTACAAGTAGAGAAAATTTTTTTTTTTATATCCTAAGAAAATGAATATTTACACGGACACAATTTATGTTTAATTTGTGTTTTGGTAAATGTGTAATACAATTGAGAGCCAATTCATCATTTATTTATTTATTTATTTTAACTTGAAGGTGCGAGAATTTGAACTCTAAACCTCATAGACTTACCGCTGTACTAAAAATGTAACATCCAATTGGTCAATTTTATTTGGATATTATTTGGGAAAAGTAAGGTATGCATATAACAAAGCAGAACGGACATAAATTTATCAAAGAAAAAAAAAAAAAAAAAAAAAAAAAAAAAAAAACAGTTCATATAATTTAATGCGGTTGGTTAATAATGTCAAAGGTAGATAGGATTGGAGAATTCTCTCAGAAAGGCTTCTTGAAGGTGCAAAATCATTGTCAAATGCACAGGCCTTTTCACAAAGAAAACAACCTACCCTTATTTGATCTTTTGTTCCCACTTTACATTTGATAATAATGGTGATAAAGACAACTTTACCCAATTCCACTATTTTAATCAAATCTTTTTTTGACGATTCAAACAGAAATAGAAAAAGAAAATACCGAACTCCCTCATCCTAAAATGTATACTTATTGTTAATTAATTGTCTTTTCAATTAATACATTGGAAAATTTTGCACCTCTCTTTTCACTCATGACAAGATTTGCAGCAAGATTACGTTGTTGCTTTATTCTTGTCGGAAGATATTTTGGAATTCTTTTTCTTAAATGGATCACAAAGATAGTTTTATTCATTATTTATTAAAAATCAGGGGAATTATTGTCCGAGGGTAAGTTTCATGTCATGTGTGTGAGTTTGCCTTGATGTTTATCACCACCGTGAGTTTTAAAACCGTAATATGACATCAAAATCACATCCAACATATTATAATATGTGAAATTTATGAAACATGCGAAAGGTTTTTTAAATTATGGTCTAAAACAGTTTATATTATATTATAAACAACAGGGTATTTTTTGTACACTATAGTATATTATGTCTCCAGCTAATGTTCTTGTTTTCTTTCTCTGATTAGCTGAAAGTTGTTGGGCATCTTCAACGTAAAACAACAAGAACTAAACATTCTTGTGAACATAATATATATATATATATAGACACACACACACACATGATCGCTAGGCCTAGGCCTATGGTCCTATGAATAGTATCATGATTCGGTTACAAACATTATGCACGCGAGAAAAGAACTTTTTCTTTAATAAGGTATGAAAGATAAAAAAGAGGTTTAACCTAACAATTATTGTCCAATTAGCCAGTTTGTCACATGCTTTGAATAAATGCTTACAGGCGTAATTTAGTTCAATTTACTAACTTCATCACCAAGTAGTTGTTCCAAAATGGAGAATAAGAAAAGAGAAAGAACTCCAAAATGAAATAGGGATCAATTTTCTTGTTACTTCAATTATTGCCCTTGCTCCTCTCTAGTGGGAGAGCAAAGATTTTTAAGTATTTCTTAAACATTCCTTACCTTTTTATTTTTTTTTTCTTTCCAGTTACGTACTAACTCAGGAGGGGCAGAAAGAACACAAAATAAAGAGGAATGTTATAGGGCACATTTCCTAATTTTCTATGATTTTGATCATATGCACGTTTACAACAAAACGCTATATGCTAGGGCCCATAATAAAAAGCCATAATAAAAAGAAGCAAAATTCTCTCAAATTTGGTTAATCAATATATATATGTGTGTGTATTTTAATCAAAACAGTTGATGGGTCAAACCCAATTCAGTATGATTGTAACATTGTTATGGCTTATTTAGTTCATTGATTCGAATTTTTAATTCGAGTTGAGATATGACTTTATGTAAGAGTTTTTTACTGTAACAAAAAAGTTAAATGTGACTATTTCTAAGAGCTTTTTACTGTAGTAAAACTCGAATTCTAAACTCGAATCGGTAAAATGAACGGGACTTTAGTTAATCTCAAATCAATTAGGATAAACTCAAAACAACTTCCTTGATCTTACCTTTACAAACTCTATGTACTTGCACGAAAATCTCTTCGTCACAAAGCAAAGCATACACAGTTTTTAGATCATAATTTTCTACAAATCAACAAACTAATCGTGATTATCATCACCGGTGATGCATAACATCGTCAGATAATGGAGAAAAGTTCAATCTCCCAAGCTACTGATATAAGTTGTAGCAATGTTAGGCCATGTTACTGCAATATGTCTAGGCCAAGATGCCAATACAATACTTGCACGAGTATAGTATGTACTAGAAGTGAAGAACATTAGAACTTTCTTCAGATGTTATATGAGGATCATTAAATAATAATAAAAAGCTCTTTTAGGAATTCAAAATTCAAATTTACATTTGCTGTCAGTTTCTTATGTAGTAGCTTCAGGAAATACAAAAGATCTCTTTTTTCCCTCCACGTAGTTAGGAGTGGAAAAGCTACAAGATTAGGTATGTACTGCTTCTTTCTTTTTTTTCTTTTTTTTTTTTTTTTTTTTTTTTTTTTTTAAGGTGAAGCAACTTGGGAAATGTAACAAGAAAATTGCTTGCCTGCGAAAAGCACAAAGGGTTCACTCTTTGTCATGGAAAGTGCTTTAACCGATTGCTAGCGATATCTCCTAAACCTAAAACGATACAAGAAATCAAACAGTTAGAGAGAGAGCAAATAAGAAGACAAGTTTCTAAATGAGACTGCAAAGCTTCATTAACGTTGAACAACTTATGAATTACATCTTGTTGGAAAGTAGGAAATTTTCCCAAGAATGAACCAAGACATTTCGCAAATATAACCCAAGTTCAATAAACAGAAAAATTCAGAGATAAGACAGCTGAGCAAAAATTCTGAGGTAAGATAGGTGAGCAAAGATAATGTAACTATTAGGTCACTAGGAATAGCCCAAGAGGCAGGTCATACCTGTCTCCGTCTCCGGCTTTGTATGATAAACCACGACCGCGACATCACGTAGCATGGCAATAGAAAACCAGCAAGTTGAAGAAGTGAAACCTGAAACTGGTGACAAAGATTAGTTCTTTGGTGTCTGCTAACCATATCAAAGAGGAGTTCATGGCTCCTGTTCCTTCGTCTATCTAATGCCAAATCATAAATGGTTAGTAGAAATATTTAGCAAATACGAAAAATGAATATATTCTAATGCATACATTGAAGGTTGATGGTCCCTGCACCAACCCAGCAAATCTTGCTATCGTCAAAGTTTGTCGTATGACCAAAACTATGAGCAACTGAACATATAAGCTAAACTAATTAGCTTGGAAATGCAAAATAAATGTCGATAACTTTTATGTTGTGTTTGTTTGCTTACTGTTATAACAGCAATAGAGCATACACAAGCAATGCCACTAGAATTTTCATCAGTATAATCCTCATATTCTGCTTGAAGCAGGCGATGTTCGGCAGCAGCTAGAGCTAAAAGATGAGACTCGCGGAGATCAAGATGGGATCCCCATTGCCTGATTACCAAGGAGAGATCAGAGGCCAGAGACCCATTGTTAGATAAATACAAACGCAGGTGTTTATAGAGCCATCTGTGAATTGAATACACAGATCAATTAGCAAATTAACATCTTCTTAGTGCATGTTTAGTTGTCACGAATCCCCTTTCCCATCTATTTATGTGCTTACTAAAAAATATGAGGAAAGCTAATTCGGTGGCATTCTCATAATATAGGAAATAATACAAGAGGATAAAATGAGGAAAGCCAATTTTAAGGTATAGGATTGTATTATTTCCTTGCAATTAGAGTAAACCAAAAAATTTACCCTTGTAGCCTTACTACATTTTAACTAATAGTTTATGCGCATAACGATATTTTAGTACTTAAGCTATAAGGATTCCTGCTCGTTATGTGATCCTGATACAGATACTAGAAAGAGAATTGGATTGTTCCTAATTACATTTTGTAATAGGTAAGTAAACAAACTAAAGGAAATCAATGACCCCCTTCTTATTCCTTTCTTTCCTTTCCAATAACTTTCCCTTTCTCATTACGTTCCATTACAAATTGGTAAACACTACACACCCTAAATGGACACAAGCAAGGACGATCCGTTTCTCCTTTTGGGATCGGATGGCGGGGGTGGTTTAAAGAGTGTATTTTCTTCCTTAAATGTGCATCATGTACATGTTCAGTGACAGTTCAGACCTTATTCTGATAGTGAATGGTACACGATTTAATGGAAGAAAAGGTAGAACAGAAATAGGATCAAACGTATCCTTACAATAGCTAAAGGTAAAGGATGTTAATAGGCTTCTTGGTGCTATATGCAAACTAAGAAACATCTTTTTGAGATATACTTTAACATCAAGAACAACATCACATCCAAAAGATGAAGAAGCTATTTGGTAATTTCTACCTGATATCAATTGTCATTACATCACTGCTCCTAGCTGGTGGAAGAGAATAATTTGGTGAAAAAACCTATTTGACAGTAAAGAAAAGGTAAATGGAAAAATTCATACTTATAGATATCCCAAGTTCAAGAGATACAATATATCTTGTCTTGGTTTATAAAAAAAAAAAAAAAAAAAAAAAAAAGCACGAACCTGGTTGCAGATTTCACAGGTTATGTCACCCTTTTTATTGCACCACCTCTGTATGCATCTCCTGTGAGCAAACTACATGCCAGCATTTTTCATTTTTGAGAGATTGAGAGAAAGGGAAAAAGAATCAATAAATATGCTCTCTCATAACCAAAACAAGTCAAACCAATAATATATATATGCTAAAAACCCATATAGAAAAATGACCAAAAAAAAAAAGTTTGGAACTTTTTTATTTTTGGATAAATGAGAAAAACCCAGAAAGCAAAAAGACCTTGAGAGTGCCATTGCAGGCACAAGGAGCCTCCATGGAATGAACTTCATCTTCTTCCTGGCAAACTCTACACTCCACAATCTCTTTAGCCTTGTTCTTGTTCTTAGACTTCTTTTCAAGAGCATTAAAATTCCCAGCGATGCCTGTACTGGTTGACCTTGACTCATCACCGTCAACGTCATCATCTGAGGTTGATGATGGTCTCTGATCAGAGTCTCCGTTTATGATTCCTCCATTATTAACTAAGTCAACGCAGGTTGAGTTGGGTATTAGAACTCGGTCAACGCACACCATGAAGTTGTCCACCATCTTCTTCAACCCGCTCACTCACTCACTCTTTCTTTTCTCTCTCTCTCTCTCTCTCTCTCTCTCTCTGAGAACAGGGGAAGAGAGAGAAAGAGTGGGGGTGTTTATGTTTTAAAAAAGGTGGCAGCCTTGTTATGGCGGAATTTACGAAACACACCTCCACTATCTTTTTTTTTTTTGTTTTGTTTTGTTTGGAACATCTTGAGAAATTGTTATTCTTCATTTCTACCGTTTAGTTTATATATTTAAAATTATTTTCACTTTATGTGTATTTTTTATGAAAAAAATATTATATAAAATAATAAATTATAATTTAAAATCAGAAACGAATATAAAAAATAAACTTCCGGATTAAGAAAAAATTTATTTATTGAAAGATGAAAGTGCCGAGTAACAAGAAGTTCAAGGGCATAGTGGTAAAAATATATATAATAAAAGTAACTACAACAGAAAGGGTTGGATGTGATTCGAGCAGAATCCATCTTGCTCTCCAACTAAAACCCCAAAATTTCGTAAATTCACATATTCAAATTTCCTATCTCAGGATTCAAAATAGATCATAACAATAACAAGCCTTTTATTTTATCTAAAATTTATCCAAGGAAAAAATTCATTTGGCAATTGCAAGCTCTTTCTTTTTTTCTTTCCCTCTTCTTTCTTTTATTCTTTTGTGCCTTAATGAAACACTTGTACGGTAATGTTAAAAGGAGTTTGTTTGTAATAGAGTATGCTAAAACAAACTATGATTCCCATCATTGCATAAAAAATAAAAAAGCCACTAGTTCTCCTACAACAGACAACAGAGACAGGGCGAAATTAACAAATTAATTAAGAAAGATAATACCTATTGCTGCCGCGAAAGTTAACCTTCTTGGCACAAATGTACAATTTAATACTATAAACATATAATTTAGTTACAAAAACACAAGACCAATCTGTCCTTATTGAATTAATCACAGATTAGCTCCTATCTTGTTGCGTTACAGAGGGGGTGAAAGAGCCCTTGTCAGTCTCAACGCCACAAGTATTTGACTTGATGTATGTACGGGCCGTCGCCAACATGAGTTCCACCTCTTTCTTGTACTACACATTCAGTAACCATAAATATTCCGTCATTTTCGACAAAAAATGTTGAAACAACTTGATGCAGAAAAACACGCGAGTAAAACGAACAGGATTTCAATCCACCGATTAATCAAAATTATATTCCTACCTCGTTTACGGCACCTGCCTTTATCTTGGATTGCATCACACACCATTTTTTAAAATGTGCCCCTACAAACAAGTTAAAGAAGAAAAGCAACGATTAACCAATATGCTTTGAGAAGATGATGAAGTAATCGAACATTTCAACTGTATCCTGTTGCTCCCATTTCCGAAAGATTTAGAAACGGCCTTAAGAGGTGTTTGCGAGGAACGGAGAACATACCATCTTGACTTGCAAGTTCAGCTTGCATTGTGACAAAAAAGATGGAAACTTTTTCCATGGATATGGAATTGAAAATGCGAGAAAACTGGAAACTTACCCACTTTTATATCCAAAGTACATGAGTTTTCAGCATTGGTCTCCAAATTCCACCTACAGTGTATCTATGGGGCACAACAACTTAAAGTTATATTTGTGTAGAAAGGAAGATAGCAATAAAGACACTGATCAATGTTAGTCTAATTCAGCATAAAGATACAATAAGGAACTACTTGTACTCTTTTTGCCATAATGGAACAATTTGGTCTAGTTAATTATTTCTTTCTATTTTTTTTAAGGAAAACGAGGTGTTGCTGCAAGAATGTAAACAAGTTTTAATCAAAAGCTACTTTGAGCTGAACTAAGGTTCTGCAATGCCCATGGCATAGTCCTTTAGCGGACATTTCTCTACTCTAATTTTATAATAAAAATTTTACTGGAATAATTAATATTATATCGGGAAACAACATAATTTACAAGTGATCTCATTAAGACCTTTCCTTTTTGGAGCAAAACCATGGGTGGATGAAAATAGAAGATAAATCTCAAATTTCCAATCCTCCCATCCATCCAAGCGACAATTGCATAAACATGAAGATGCTTCAAGTCCGAAATGTTATAGATATATAAATTAATCACCTCTAAATTCATGTCTAAGGACTGCATAGTTACGTCATTGAAATTACAATATATCCAGTTAGTTTTTAAACATATCCTTCATTAATCTTTAAACGTACATGCCCTTAATGGACATAAGATCTAACAGCTAATTTAACATTCCATCCGTTTGGATAGGGCAAATGGATGGGGTGGAAAATGACAAAGTAGGCAGTTTTCAGCAACCTTAAGAAAGAAAACAAACCGAAAAGAAAAAAAAAAAAAAGAATGAAGTGCAAAAGAAATTTCATACCTCAAAATAGGACCCAAATGGAACATCATGCGCCTGTTGCACAGTTTCAAATACCTACAAGAAGAGACAAACTTTAACAAAGTACTATAGATATAGATTAAACAAAACTCAAAAACAGCGCGATCTAGCAAGGACGGTATCAGTATGATGATCTAATTACCAGCTTTTTCTTGTCACTTGATAAAACAGCATGCTGATACTCTGTCATGGCTGTGTCTGGGGGGCACATGGGACTTGTACAAAGGGATCTAAATTTTATTTCTCTGACTTGGCCATCGTATTCATCTGCAGGATGCCACTGGCCCATCTGAAAACAGCAAAACAGTTGGCATGTATTTCAGATCAAAAGACATATTGCATGGAAAACTTTGCCTCATTTTCAGGGTCAAAAGCTAAAACAATATACATCCAGCTTAACCCAAAACAACGATTAACAACCAGGTTTTTGTTGGCATCAAATTATGGTCCCTGAGGTACGCCGGGGGCCTGGAATCCATGCAACTATGAAAATTAGATAATTCTTTGAGCAGCAGTCCAATAATCTAAGCTCTTACTGGGACATCAACATCAACTGTAATACCTTTTCCTTCCCCAAAGAACTAAGTTCTAATTAATCAACCACATCTTTAAACTTGAAATGCAGACAATAGTTCAGTTTTTTAGGTGAGACCAACACGAAGCATTATATGAGACACAATCGTGACATCCAGTGAATATAGGCAAAGTAGTAGCAATTAAGTATGTGAGAGCATTCAAAGCTGTTTTAGTACTTACAGTGAGATTAGTGTCTTTTCGAGCTGAGCGATATTCATTTGTAAAAGTTGAATTATCGCTCAACAATAAGTTAAAGAAGTTCTCAGCTGTGCAAGGGAAAACATCCTGGGAAAAAAACTTATAACTTGTTAGGAAAGAGCGACATGCTTACGAAATTAGATGCTAAAGATAAATGAAACAGAAGATGCGTACATTATATATATTAGTCAATGCTTCATCTTTAATAAAAGCTTGAAGTTTGCCAGTTTTTGGAACAATATCTTCGGGAATATCAGTTTCACTTCTACTCCCTCTGATAGAACTGCTATGTGCACGCAATGCTGACTCTACACTCTCCTGTAGAGGAAAAAAGAAGCATATTATAAGTCATTTCTCGTCCTTTGATATATAGCTGCGAAAAATATAGAATGCAAGTCAACCTTCTTCTCAGCCTCTAGCCTTGCATGGAAACTCTTTACTGCACGCAGTAAAGCTCTTAATGCATGATTCCTGTTCCAAAATGATGCAAATTTATATCTGACTCTACCTGAAGATGAAAATTGTGACACACATGCAGATTAACAAGTTAATTCTCACTTATGAAAACAAAAGGAAGAACGTTATATTATTTCTTTTTTCATGATCAGAACCGGTCACTAACCATCAGGACTTCCTAGAGGAGGTACACCATGCCCACCAGCACCCATCCGCAAAATGATTGTTACAGCAGGATTGATGAATGCATGCTGACTCCTCCTAATCTTCATAACAGCCAAAAGAAAATCTGGTAATTCAACAAAAATATTTTATCTTTGTGAGAGAGAGAGAGAGAGAGAAAGAGAACCTCATGAATATCTTCAACTGGTATAACCACCTGAAAAATTATATAAAAAACACCATTGGTGAGCAAATGATACAAATGACTACCACGAATGTAAATAATGCGCGCGGATCATTAATTTACATCCATTATGTGTAATGTTGATGGATGCATATAGACAGTTGCATATTACGCCATAATATTCCACATCAACTTTCAAAATCTAATTTTGACATCTATTCTTGATTGATATGTACTTGATGTCACACCATTAAAATCCTTAGGTCAGTTTCATTGCATTCCTCATATAAGGACAAGACAACACAAATATTTGGCAGTGGCTCACACTAGGGAAAAGAATAATAAGCTCACCTTCATTTGCTTAGAGAACACATTCGAATGGAAACAAATGTGCCATGAAGACACATACATACGACCGTGATACAAGAAAGATCTCTCCAGTGCACAAGAATAACTATGATCAACAACCTGAAAAAGATACTCCAAAGAATGAAACAGATTCAAATAAACAAATGTTTCTCGTTGTTCAGACTTCCACAGATAGACATACAAGAAAAGAGTTTCATTCAACTCACTTCATATGGAGGGAGATCAAATATTGTTTGAAGGGGCCCTGGCTTTTGATGAACCACTGTGGGCCCTGGCAAGGGAATCCTAGGCTTAGCTCCACTATAGCCATTCATAACCCTAAGAGTTTCGTAGCAACTCAGTAATTACGGATGTAATAAACAGTAACATATGTATGTTTCCTATTTATAAGGAAAGGTCATAACTTGCTAGAAGTCTACCTGGAAGAATTTACGGGCAGTTTGAGTGTTTTAATGTGAAGACAAACCTGGAAAGCAAATACCATTTACGTATACATTTACATTTCAATAGAAGAATGAAGAGTGAATCACAAAAAAGTCCAATACCAATAGAAAGAAATAATGTACAAAGAACAAATACCTGCCCAGATGGACTATCCAGGGTATACCATACTGCTCCTGTTTGACCCTCGTTTTCAACTGAAACAGTAACTGAGCCAAGCACAGCGCTTTTCCAAATTATATCCCAATCATAAATCGTCACATTAATCTGGAATGATGGAAAAAAGCTACGACTTATATAAAAAACAAGAATTGAACCAGAGCCAATCATTACATTAGAGTTCAAGTTCCAATTGTATATATGCATTAATGTCAAGGTTCGAGTTTAAAAAAGCTCCTTTCAAGCCAAATATAGAAGTGATGTAATTATTCAAAAATTGATCATACAACAAAAATCTAGGTGCTGATACCTGGACAGGAAGTTCATCAACTGAAAAATTAAACTCCTCTCCCCACATGGGATTTCTTGAACCAGGGACCATTGAACTACATTAGCAACAATTTTAAAATTGCATCAGGTTAAGAGATACATTACATATATAGGATATTTAATAGCCGAATAGAGACCTAAATGGTAGATAGAAGTGAGCACAGAATTCTTTAAGTTTTCGAACCGGCTAGCTAAAGATAGCTTAACAAGAAATCTAAACCTCCAAGGTAAATTGGTTCCCAAGCATCATCAAACATTTTAAAAAGTGCCCAAAAACAAACAATTGGATATACAATCAGTGACCTGAATCGCTTTTCTGTACCACAAGTAATGACAGCATATGGATCCGACGTGCCATTAATGTTCGCACCAATTAGATTCTTAGCAGCCAACAATTCCAACTGGAAAGCATCAGTAAACAAAAGCACAAGTGAATCCACAATGTTGCTCTCTCTCTCTCTCTCTCTGCTTAGGTACAAGAAAAACTAATCATTTTCAGAATTCGTATATTATATATAGCAAACATTGAAGCACCAAACATGTTTGTGTTGGGATCATTTCTTGAATTTTATTTTTTGTTTTTGAGAATAATCATACCTTCATTAAATATGCAGAATTTGTCTGAAGATCACCCCTCAGTTCGTATGTCTACAAAAATAAGGGCAGAACTGCATGTCAAAACAAGCTAGAATTTATTTCACAAAACGAAGTAAAAATCTCTTCTTTTCTACAATAGGACATAATTCAAGAAAATTCTCCATTAATATCGTAAATATTTTAACAAAGAAAACATTTAGCCAATTATGATCGACAATAATCATAAGAAACGCGCAAAATTTTCATATGAGCAAACAAGAAAGGTCTTGCATTGACCTTCAGAGAAAAACACGAACATTCAAACACACACAAAAAAAAAAAGATTCAAAATTTCAATACACGAAACAAATTAGACAAAAGAAAGAGTAGAAATTGACATTGTTTTTGGCATCACCGGCAACAGCAGAAGCAGCCGAATCGCCGGCGTCGGCATCACCGCCGAGTCTGAGGGCGAAAAACCAGTAGGTGAGGATCACGAAAACGGACGCGGTGAGGGAGACCTTGATCTCCCACCACGACGGCACGAGGAAATCCAGCAACGCCGTGTCGATCATCGTCGTCATCATCATGGCCATGGATTCCGGCAAAGAGAATCGGAAAATTGGATCAGATTGGGGAAAGGCCAGAGGAATGTGGAGTAGGATTTTGGGGGTTTCGTAAAGCCATGGCAACGCTGAATTTGAAGAAGGAGAAGAAGAAGAAGAAAACAACCGTCTCGGCGGCAGACAGAGAAAGAGTCAAAGGTTGGACCGTTGGAGCGTTGGAGGGGAAATGAGAAAAGCAGAAATTGGGACAAAAAATGTTATTGGCTTTTTATTCCCATACTACCCTCCTTTTGTTTGGTAAATAACGAAGATACTATACGAAAATGTCGGCAATTAAAAGGGCATTTCTGTAAGAGAGAGTGGGAACTTGTAGAATAACGCTTTCAAGATTTTACGAATCCTCCCGGGATTTAGCGTCCTCTTTTTAATAGTTTATATAACTCAAAAAGAGGGAAATAGTATCGAAATTATCCTCTTATATATATTTTCATGTATTTCTTTTTTTTTTTTCTTTTGAGAAAAGATTTTGATTGGAGTCTTGAAATTTCGGGGAATTTTAGATGGATGGTTCAGTGGAAAAAGTCTCAAAATTATTTTTGTACAAAGATTTTCAAAAGTGGGTGATCACTAATCCAAACGTTATTGCAAAAAGTCTCTTTTGAACCAAAAAAATGAAAAAAAAACAAAACAAAATTCCATTTTCTTTTTTGAATGCGACACGAAACAAAAAAGGTCTATTTCTTATTTTTGTTGGTTTATTATTTTTTTCTAGAATATTTTGGACAAAAAAAAAAAGAATAATCCCTTTTTAGACAAATTCTTAAGAAATTATTTATTCATTTTTTGCTGCCGAATATAATTTAAATAAAATTGGTTTTGGTAGTACATGCAATATGGTAGAAACTAGAAAGAAAAACCAAACAGCTTTGCAGTAGTATGTATGGTTGGCTGTTAATCCTAAGGAAATCATTATTAAGGAAACTTAACACAATTAGTTTTATTAATAATTTTGAATTTATTTGTATTTATTTGTATTTTAGAAAATCTCTTGATTTTAGTCTGATTATGCGCTTATAATGTCTAATTTGATAGTGCTCGTTTTTGCCTAAATCTCTCTTGTCTCTTCTCATCTTTATTTTACTTTCTTAATTATTCAATTTTTATAAATCATCAGCTACTAACTGTCTTTGTCTGTGGAAAGACTTTCTTTCCAAACTCCAAAAATATCTCTTATCTGAACTCCCACTGGTATATCAACTTATCACACTTCACCATACAAGAGAAAGAGAGATCAAAATTCAAGAGAAGAAACATATGGATCAGATCAAACAACAAAACATGATACAACAATTCAAAGGCCACACAAGGTTGCCGAATTTCGCAATCCCGAAAAGATATGATCTTCATCTGAATACTGATCTTTCTGCTTCTACCTTTTCCGGCACTGTTCTCATTGATCTTAAAGTCGTTGAAGCCACCAAAGTTCTTGTTCTGAATTCTCTTGAGCTTCATGTTCATGAAGTTTGCTTCACAAGCTCTTCCAACCAAGTAACTCTTTGTTTCTTGCTTGATCATCTTACATACATATAACTTGTTGGTTTCATTCCGATTTTTATTTTTATTTTTTATTTTTTATTTTTTATTCACTGAAGTGCCGTCCGAGTGACGTCATTTTGGACGGCGAGGATGAAATACTTGTGCTGGTGTTTGAGGAAGTGCTTAGTGTTGGTGAAGGAGTTTTGAGGATTGAGTTTTCTGCTGTCCTTAATGAGTACTTAAAAGGGTTCTACAGATGGTGTGCCTTCTCTCTCTCTCTTTTTTTTTTTACTTATTTGTTTGTGATTTCATGAAGTACTTACTTGGATGGAGAGGAGAAGAAGAACATGGCAGTTACTCAGTTTGAAGCTGTGGATGCAAGGCGGTGTTTTCCATGCTGGGACGAACCTGCTCTTAAGGCAATAATTTAATCTACTTTTTGTTTATTACTTATTTTACAACCTTGAAATGCTTGATTTGATTTATTTAGTAATTTAACCTCTTTTTATTTGCAGGCTACATTTAAAATAACACTAGATGTACCACAGGAGTTGATGGCATTGTCCAATATGCCAATTGTTGAAGAAAAGCTTAATGGAAAGGTCAAAACCTTATACTTTGAGGAGTCTCCTATCATGTCAACGTATCTAGTGGGGATTGTTATTGGTCTATTTGATTATGTTGAAGATACAACAGCTGATGGTATGTGTATAATATAAGTGAGATAGGCTATATGTTTTGTGAATTGTAGTGACTTTTTCATGGAGAATTCTGTGGTAAGGCACAAAAAGTTATCATTCCGCTACCATCAGATCATCCCAAAATCATATTATTAGTAGAAACGAATGCAGAATTAACGAAATCTATTGAAGGTCTGATGGTAAAAATTAGCGTCGTATTAGTAAGTTAAATTTTCATAGCATACCGAAGAATTCTACTTCTTTCATTCGGTTTTTACAGTCAGGAATTTTGAACTGTGCTGCAGGGGTTAAAGTACGAGTATATTGCCCGGTTGGGAAAAGTGACAAAGGGCAGTTTGCTCTAGAGGTTGCAGTCAAGACACTTGAGCTATACACCAAGTAATATCTAACATGTTTGTTTTGACTAGATTTGAGGAGTTTTACATGCTATGAGGTTCATATGGAAACTGGTTTTATGGTGTCAACTAGGTACTTCTCAATGTGCTACCCGCTCCCCAAGCTCGACTTGGTTGCAGTTCCTGAGTTTGCAGCTGGGGCAATGGAGAATTATGGGTTGATCGTGTACCGTGAGAATGAATTGCTTTATGATCCGTTGCATTCCACAACTGCTAGGAAACAAAGAGTAGGTCTAAAGATCTTTATCATTTTTGAACTTACATAAGAAAGGAACTGACTGCATTTTTCATGTCAGAATGCGATAGTGGCAGCACATGAAGTAGCCCACCAATGGTTTGGTAACCTGGTGACAATGGAATGGTGGACTCATTTGTGGCTTAATGAGGGTTTTGCAACATGGGTAAGTTTTGAGTATTTTAAATCTCAGTAGGAACATGCGCCCTTTATTAAATTTTACACGACTCTGCCACTGTTTGTAAATTATGGTATGCCCACTTGGTCTTGTTACTTGCCAGGTAAGTTATATGGCAACTGATATGTTGTTTCCCGAGTGGAAAATATGGACTCAATTTCTCGACTTCTACAGTGATGGCCTAGGCATGGATGCACTTGAACAATCACATCCAATTGAGGTAAGTACTAATAAGCAACAACCAAACTGCTAAAGTTTTACCACATTTGGCATCTTTTAGTTCTCCTTTTTCATTCAGATTGGCATATATATATATATATATGTATGTATATATATATATATATGTATGTACTCTATATATATATATTTTTTTTTTTTCAGGTGGAGATACACCATGCTCGCTCCATTGAGCAAATCTTTGATGCTATCAGCTATAACAAAGGGTCGGCGCTTATCCGAATGCTGCAGAGTTATCTTGGAGATGAGTTATTTCAGGTCTGAAAGCTAATGTCCTCAAGTTTTTTCAGCATAAGGTCGTGTATTTTATCTCTTCATTTGAGTGGCTCCATTTTTCAAGCAGAAATCTTTGAGTTCATACATTAAAAGATATGCGGAAAAGAATGCAAAGACTGAAGATTTATGGGTAGTTCTTTCAGAGGAATCTGGTATTAAAGTTGAGTCACTTATGGATGCTTGGACCAAGGCAAAAGGATACCCTGTTATCTCTGTAAAAACTAAGGGCCATACATTAGAATTTCAGCAGGTATAATTGATTAATATATATCAATCAATATGTATTAAAAATGTATCACCTGATAGATTACAACCTACATATATTAAAAATATGCATGTGTGTGTGATTTGTGGTCATATGTTGCAGGCACAGTTTCAGTCATCTGGATTACATGGTGATGGACAATGGATTATTCCAATAACCTTGGCCGTTGGTTTGTATAAAAAAAACAAGAATTTTCTTCTGGAAACTAAGTTCGGAGAAGTAGACGTGTCTGATCTGGTTCATTCTATTGATGGAAATTCTAGTTCATTGAATGAAAAAATAGAAGAGCAATTTGGTGAACATTTATGGATCAAAGTTAATGTTGATCAAAGTGGTTTCTACAGGGTAAAGTATGATGATAATCTAGAAGCTCGCCTGAGGAAAGCAGTAGAGAACAACAGTTTGTCAGCTATTGATAAATTTGGTAACCGCCTTTTCCCAGTTACAAAATCTTAACAAGATAGGACTGTCCTCTCCTGTTATGTTCATCCACTAAAGCCTTAGAATAGGGGAGAATTAATCTTGGGGAGTGCTCATCAACGAGATTAGACCAATTCTTGACTAAAATTTCTCTCTTTTTATGTACCAGTTCCTTTTAAATATGCATGAAGCTAATTTTCCCATGAGCTTAAGCTATCTGAATGTATTAAAAACTGAATATATAATGACAATTTTAGCAAGTCTAAGGATTTGAACTTAAAATTTCTTGTTCCGATACCATGTTAGTTTACCAATTACCCCAACAGTTAGTACCGGTTTACTTTACACATCCACTATGCCTGTGTGCTCTTGATTCTTTGCCATTGCGTCCACTGATGCATATAACTAACTACCTTTGGTTTCATGTCAGGCATTTTGGATGATGCATACGCTCTTTGTGTGTCCGGCGAACGATCATTGTCATCTTTGCTTTCCTTGATTAAAGTGTACAAAAGAGAGATTGATTATGTTGTTCTGTCAAAACTCATTGATGTAAGTAGAAAATACTTCTATATTTCTCATTCCCAATCCCATCTCTTACTTGCAGCAATATGACATGTGATAAGTTTTTTAACAGACTTGCTATGATGTAGTGGAGATTGTAAGCGAAGCCATTCCGGACATAACAAATGAACTGAAACAATTCTTTATTAATCTTCTCCTGTTTCCAGCAGAGTAAGAAGAAAATAGTACAAGAACACGAAACTAATATTAGCCCACCTTTTAACAACTTTAAGATTTTTTTTTTTTTTTTTTGGGAGAATCAATAATCTAAGACTTTCATATGTTTTGTGCCTATAACTAAATATTCTAAGTGTTGGTCCAACTCTTAGGGCATGTTCTTTTGTCAAAAAAATTAAAAAAAAAAACAACTCAAGTTTCAACTTTATTCAAGTTCACGTTCTTTTAAGTTTCAACTTTATTCAATTTTATTCAACTTTATTCAAGTTCTAACTTCAATTCAAGTTATAACTCAAATTTAACTCAAAAACTACATTCAAATTACACTCCAAAAAAACAACCCCTTAATAAGCTGAGTTTTTAAAAGAATCTTAGTTATAAAGCTAACGCTTTTGCTTTTTGTGACTAAAATTGTTGGTTATGCAGGAAATTAGGTTGGGAAGCAATACCTGGAGAGAGCCACTTCAATAGGCTATTGAGGGGAGAAGTCCTTCAAGCCTTGGCATTTTTGGGCCAGGAAGGCACACACAGAGAAGGATTACAACGATTTCAGTCATTCTTATATGACAGAAATACGCCACTTCTATCGGCTGATACAAGAGATGTAATTATTAATAGGCCCTTTTCGCATGATATATTTTTTTAAGGCCTTTTATGAAAAGCTTATAAACACAGTAATCATTTAAAACTCGTCCATATGTGTGGATCTTAGAAAGTGGTTTATTTGTTCTGCATATGTGTGGGTCTTCGAACGTGGTTTATTTGTTCTGCAGGCTGCTTATATTGTCGTTATGAGGAACTGTAGCAGCTCAAACAGGGAAAGCTTTGAATCCATATTAGATGTTTATAGAGAACCAAATACGGTACTTCAAGTGAAGGAACGCATTCTACGTAAGATTTTGTTGCCCACTTGTCTCCATCTTTCTTTTTGTTGTTCTTTTTGTTGTTCTTTTTCCATATTTCTGTCGTTTTGTGAGATTTGGTGTCGTATTTCACTTTTCACGTCGTTTACTCTTTTCAATCGTCTCGAGTTTCATTGTCGTTTTACAATTTGTTTCCCACTTGTCTCATTCATTGTCTCTCTCTCTCTCTCTCTCTCTCTCTCTTTTTTCCTTTTTTCCTTTGGCCTTTTGTCTCTTTCATCCTCCTTTTCAAGTTTGATGTTCGTTTATATTTTTAATTTAATGGTTACTTCTCTTGTATTACGCTTTTGTTGTCGTTTTAAGAATTTATTGTCGTTTTTATGTTTTCTCTGTCACTCATGTCTCTTGTGATGTCGTTATCCATGTTTCTTTCTTATAATTGTTTTATTTAGTGGTCGTTTTTCTGTCTGTTGTCGTTCCTATGGTCGTTTTTCTCATTTTTTGTTGCTTTTCCTTCGACCTTGAACAGGTTGGTTGGCATCGTGTCCAGACCCGAATATAGTTGTTGAGATTCTCAACTTTTTCGTGTCCGAGGAGGTACTATTTTTGTTTTGCACAAAATATCTACTTTTTGCATCCTTAATCTATTTGCCACTTGTATTGAAATTGTCTAATAATTTTCAGGTCCGAGATCAGGATATTATATATGGACTTTATCGTATAAGCTTTGAGTGCCGTGAAGTAGCATGGAAATGGTTGAAGGTATATTGTACTTCTTGGGTATCAATAATATAATTGACTGTTAAAAAATAAATGTTTGAAGAAACAAATATTAATACCAAATGGAAATATGGAAATATGTGATAACGTTCTCATTTCCAAATGGAAATATGGCAATGAAATAATGTAAAATATTGATGTATATATAGAGAGAGAAGAAAAGCATGGTATAGGAAATTAGTAATAAACCCTTATCACAAAGAGCGATATTGAGGCCGGTGATGAATATATATATATATATATATATATATATGTATGTATGTATGTATGTATCTGTATATATGTATACATATTATTATATTATGCAGGAGAAGTGGGACATGATATTGGCAAGATATGGAAGTGGAATACTACTCACCCACTTCATTATGGGCATTGTCACTCCAGTAAGCAATTAATCAGCCTATCTAGTCTAGTCTAGAGATAAATGTTCAAGGAGTCCTATGCTTTTATCCGCACATACGCATACATAAATTTCTTTTTTTTTTAATGTGGAATAGAGTACTGTATCAATAATTATAATTTACATATTTACGGACAATACCTAAATATCATATTTATTCAAAACCAAATATTTTTCTTATGCGGTGGTAAAAGATATGTTTTTTATTTTCTTTCTAAAATTCCCAAAATTATACGAAATGTACAATTTTTTACAAAAGTTTTCCACTTTCTGATATTATGCAAGTGTTATTCTGGTATGCAGCTTTGCAGCGATGGAAAGGCTGAAGAGGTGGAAGCATTTTTCGCAAACCGCACATATCCTTCAATTGCTATGACTTTAAAGAAAAGCATTGAGAAGATCCGGATCAGAGCAAGGTGGGTTCACAACATAAGGGAAGAACATGATTCTGATCTTCTACACTTAGTTATGCAATTGGCTGCACCAACAAACTGATACTGCATTGTCACAATTTCAACACTTATGCGTGCTAATTGTATATTCAACAGCTAGGATAAAGAGAGAGAACCACATTTTAGTACTTATAGCAATATTGTTGTACATATAATGTTTTATATGCATGAACATTATGTTGTGCTTCAATGGTTCTGATCAACCGGAAGTATTTCGTCTCCAGTGCTAGTTGTATCTTGGTTGATGGAGTATCCGGAATCATATGCTGATGTGATCATGCCATATCTCTCTCCAAGACTGCTAATTCTTTCGTGAACTTGAAGCATTGTTGGCCTTTGATTTGGAAATGGCTGCACACACTCAGTTGCTACTCTTAGGACCTCCATGATCTCATAATCAAATCCTTGTCCACATAAAGATTTATCAATGGCATCGCCAAGAACAAAATTAGGGCTCTTTGAAACATGATTAGTCCATTCCACTAAGTTATTGTAAGAACTACTAGTGGAAGAGCCGGCATTGATGGCTTCCCTCCGTGTGAGCAGCTCAAGAAGCACAATTCCAAACTTAAAAACATCATCTTTAACAAAATCTGACTCCCACACCCCACTATTCACAAGGAAATCGGAATCGTCTTCATTCGCGTACTTAAACATTACCCCTCCGTGATTCGAAATGATTGTTTTGCCAAAATTCGATATCTTAGGCTCGAAGTGATGGTCTAGGAGGATAGATTTGGAGCTTATCGCGCCATGGACTAGACGAAAATTGCAACCATGATGGAGCCATGATAAGGCTCTGGCAATTCCAATGGCAATTTTGAGCCTCAGAGGCCATTCCAGGATTTTAGGCTCACCATGTAACAAATCATGGAGGTTCCCATTTGACATGTGCTTGTATACCAAGAGCATTTGGTTATACTGTGTGCAGAAACCCAATAAGGGGACTATGTTGTCGTGTTTCAGTCTAGACAAAGCCAAAAGCTCAGATAAAAACCGGCTCTCGAATTGTAAGGAGTTGTTGAACCTCTTAACCGCAAGAAACAAGCCATTTTGAAGAGTGGCCTTGTACATTGTCCCCGTCTTTCCCATTCCTATGACATTGTCCGTGCTGAAATTGTCTGTTGCCTTGCAGAGTTCCGCCAAGCTTATCCTATTAACTAATATTTCCAGCCCGGGAATCTGTAAAATTTAGACATCAGGATAACTGCTCATGAACGCTTCAGTTGAAATTTTTGGCTAAAAAATTGAAACTCAGTTTTTATAAGACAATATTTTAAACGGAAAGGGAGATTCAAATTTAAGCCATATAAATATATAAAACACATATACACGTGTGTGTAAAACATATAAAACTATTGTTGGATTATCGATTCTCCCAAAAGTTTAAGATGTAAAGAGGTGGACTAACAACAGTTTTATGCACTCTTCTTCAATTCTGTGTGTAAAAAAAATCTTGAATATTGGTATAAACTAATTGTTTTTAAAAAATGAATAACGAGGGACCAATATAACTTTAACTACAAAGTCAAGTCATTTTAAGCTAACTAAGCATAAAATGACACATTCCAATAACCTTTGAAATACTAGCAAGAATGGTACTACTATATATTGGAGAGAAAGATGAATACCTCGATGTTGTGATTCAACGTTGGATAGTGAAATAGCTCATCAGTTTCTTCTTTTGTTCTGACCCAGTTTTGCAGCCTGTGAAGTACCATAATCTTCAGTTGCAACCAAGAGAAAGAAAAGTATATGAACAAAACTGCAGCTGATACCACGTAACCACTTATAAATCCTATTTTGAATGAATCCAATTTTATCTCATGAGCTGTACTGATTTTGAGGGTCATATTGGTGTATGTGTTCGACCACAGAAGTGGTAACAGTACTAAGAAAGCAAGAAGGATATAGTGCTACCAAGACAAGCAGGTACTCAAAGTCAAGCAAAATGTGTGTGTATATATATATCCAAATCAATGTCATGTTGCCCATTGGAAACGTTTTAGCTAGTTTTGTCATGGTCGGAACTTGAAAGGAAAAGGGCCAAAATTAAATGTTGTCTGCAATGTTACCATGCATTGACTCACATGTCATATATGGCGTGCTCTAAGGTCCTTATTCGCCGTAACAACTAAGTAATTAGAAACTCTGGTGGTAAACAATATTCAATGCATACAGCGATACCCGAAAGACAATCCAAGCTAACAAAGCAAATTTTCCAAGTCAAAGCACGAGTTCAGTAGCAAATATCTATATATATATATATACACATACATATATATAGTGACGAATTGAGGAATTTTTGTCAGATGGCTAATAACTATAACAAAATTTAACAATATACGCTTATCGAACTTAATCACGAATGTTAGGATGATACTAAAAAATGAGAATTCGTAACTCATGATCGGTTTCTAAATTAAAATCCACCTTACTTGATTTAATAGCATTGTCATTTTTTTTCTTGTAGTAATTAAAAACTCTTCTAACTTTCTTTCAGAAAACCTTTCGATCATTGTCAATCAATTGCCACCTAAATATATATATATATATATATATATATATTAATCATCGATCCATTCTTATTTTTATTAACAAATCAACATGCGAACATAATAAGTATTGTGTATTTAAGTAACCAAACTTATAGTATATAAAAAAAAGAAGGAAAAAAAACACTAATCAAACCCTATATATTCACAAAACAATAATGATTATACTCAAATTTCTTGAAAAATTCAATTATAAACTATGCAATATTTAAGTAACCAAACCTATAGTGTGTGTGTGTATAACACTAATCAAACCCTATTCACAAAACAATAATAATTATACTCAAATCTCTTGAAATTTTTTTTACTATAAACTATGTGATATTATAACTTAAATCAAATGAAAAGAAGTACAAACGACAGAAAACTAACACGCCATTGAAATAGTTAAACAGCGAAAGATTTAATCAAAATGAAAAAGACAAATGAACAACGGCAAACGAAATTGACACCAAAACGACGTAAGGAGAGTAAAACCTTACCAAAGGCCAAAAATGACAATAAAATTTTTAAACGACAAAGAACAGAACTTTAACGTTCAAATGAGAAACAACAGAAATACATAAAACGAATAAGAAAAACGACAATAAATACCTACTTTCTAGAAGCGAGGCAGACTGGCAGGAAGATATGCTCCTAAGTCCTAATGGTGCGCATTATTATAAGACAGCCAAACGACAAGAAACTAAAGAAGAAAAATGATAAAATCGTTGAGCGACATTAAAGAGAAGAATAACAGTTAAAAGTGAAAATATGAGGGGGAAAAAAAAAAAACCACAATAAGGATGTAAATGACGCCAAAATGAAGAAGAATGGAATTTGAATCATCGAGACAATAATAAAACTACAGTAAAACAGAAGAGTAGCTGCAAAATAAAATAGACCAAGATATGTAACATAAAAACGATAGGAATTTCGTAAACAACAACCAATAAAAAAAAATCTTAAATAAAGACAAAATGAAGGACAGCATAAAACGATAATAAATACTTAAGCGGTAACAGACAAAAACGTTATTAAGAGAGTAAGCAACAAACAAACAAAAAACCACACTAAAATAGTTAAAATGAGACAAACAAAAGAACTACTCTACTAGAAACGACAACGAGCCGAATAAACATGAAAAACGACGATGAATTATAAAACGACGTTGAATTTATTCATACGAGATCAATAGCTATAATTTTATTTCAACTGAATATATTTTTATTTTAAATAAATAAGTAAATAAACTTGTGAGAAATTGTACATTCTCAGAATAATTGAATCATTATTTTCAAAGTAATTGTGAAAGAAAAGAGAGGCATAAACACAGGATTTGGGTTCGGAAAAAGGGAAAGAAAAAGAATAAGAATAACAAGAAAAGAAAAATTTAAAAAGAAAAAAGGGCAAGTGCGAACTGGAAGACACGTGTAAGGTAAGAATTGGGAGGGGCACACGTGCGAAGGGAAAGCAAGAAGAGATGTCATGTCGTAAGTAGCGAACAGGTTTTCTGTTTAGGTTTTTTTTTTTTGGGTAATAATTAAAGTAAAGTTTATAACGTTTAACTCTTCCGCTTACTCTCTCTCTCTCTCTCTCTCTCTCTCTCACTTCATCGTATTTCCACGCCGCCGTAAACTCCTCATATCAGTATCATCTCCTCTTAAACTCAAAACTACCAGGTACTTTCATTTTTTCCATTCCCAGTAACTTCGTTTAAACATGCACACGCACACACATATATATACACACACACATATTCTCTTTGTTATATATTATACATATATACATTTAACAATGCAAAATATATTTGTGCTTTTGAGTTGAAGAATCTGCTGCTGTGCTCTTTCCTCCAAGTTTTCTAGTTCTCGTTTTTATTTCTTTCTGCAACTTTTATCTTTTGCATCAGGTATGTTTGCATTACGGCTTATTATATTTTTTTTTTCTAGCTTGAGTTATATATGTCTACAATACATTCCACTTCTAACTGTTATATATTTCTTGTTTTACTTGGAAACAATTATTATTATTATTCTTATTCGTATTTATTGTTGGTATTTCCTTGTGAGTTTTTGAAACAGGGGACATGGGTTGTCAATAATTTTGCTTTAAGTGGAGTTTTGAGTGTGCCTAGCTTTGGAAGAGACAAAAAAACATATAGGATGTTCTTAATTTTGCTTTAATGTGATTTTCTTTAGATGATATAGAGATTGGGGCTTCTAGAAAGTTTAGGTATCTTAGATCTATAGTGCAGTATGAAGGAGATATAGAAGAGGATATTCAACATAGGATTAAGACAGGGTGGGTTAAGTGGAAGAATACTATGAGAGTTTTATGTGATGGTAAGATGCATATTAAGTTGAAAAGAAAGTGCTATAGAACTGTAATACGCCCCGCTATGTTATATGGTAGTGAATGTTGGGCCATTAAGAGACAACATATATCTAAGATGAGTGTGGCAAAAATGCGTATGTTAAGATGGATGAGTGGCCATATGAGAATGGATCGCATAAGGAATGAAGTTATTCATAGTAAAATAGGTGTAGCATCAATAGAAGATAAGGTGCGCGAAAGCCGCTTGAGGTGGTTCAGGTATGTCCAACGTAGACCGCTAGAAGCACCAGTTCGTGCTTGGGAGGACATTCTTATACCTAATACTAGGAGAGGGAGGGGTTATACCAAGAATTACGTGGACCGAAGTTGTTAGGAAAGACATTTTAGATCTAGGCCTTCAGGAAAGTTTAATTTTGAATAGAGCCGTGTGGAAAAGTGAAATCCATATAGCCGACCCTAATTAAGTTGGGATTAAAGCTTCTTGTTGTTGTTGTTGTTGTTTATTTATTATCATACATGGAGTTTCTCTTAGACAAATGAGAAATCTTCTCAATTATGTTTCTGGGGTTTTTTGATAATGCATTTTTATATAACTTCAGCCGTTGAGAAAGCAATTATACTCTCTGCCCTTGAGCAAGAGATAGTAAAAGTCTATATATTCTCAGTAATTTGTATGTATATATGTTCAATATGGGTGCTATTTGTCGAGGGTACAAGATCTTGTATATACTGAATTTGATCTTCAAGAAGCAGTTAGCACTGTACAATACTGATGGTCAAATTTCTGAATGCTGAGATGTGCAATATGTTGGTTAATTCTCACTAAATCAGTACGTTTTTTGATGAATATGATAGCTAAAAAGTATGTAAACCAAGACTTCCAAGGCACCATGTCGATACAATGTAATAAGTTAGACACTGTATCACATGAGATTTCCAGCATTTTTATTTTGCAATTTTGCATTTGCAATCTACTCTGCGTTTGGGAAGTTTTTCTTCTGTGAAGCCTTAATTGACTTGGCTGCATTAGATTGGCTTAATTTCAACCTTTAAACTTTTTTGGGTTCAAAGTTTGGAGCAGAGTAAAATTCCTAACTAGCACATTTTGGTTGAAACTGGTTTCAGGATAAGTATAAGGAATTCCTCTGGAATTCCCCCACCCCTAACTAAGAAAAACAAGGTGAGCTTGGAAAGTTCGTGGCACGGCTTTAGCTCAACCATTGATGGAAGTTGAAGAAGACCGTAAACCACAACTAAATCCAGAAGTTGCACCTGACAAGGGAAATAAAAGTTCCGTGGCAAATTTAGCTATGAAGGGCTTAAGTTGCAGTAATAACTGTGAGGACACTACAACTGGAATGGAAGATTGGTTTGACGACAAAAGTAAGATTCCCAAGGATGTAGATGTTGATATAACTGGAAGTAGAAATCCTTCTAATATCGCATTGGCTGAAACGGAGGACCCCAACGCAACTGAATATTCAAGCTCATTTGATGGCACTGCTGATGACAATGAGAATTGTTCTGGATTTAGCGAAGGAGAAGTCGAGTCACAGTTTTTTGGGGACAACGGTTTTGGATCTTCATTTGATGCCTTTGGTGGTCTATTTCAAATAAGGTAATGTGCGCTAATGGTTTATGGTTTCCATTAAAACCATGTGACGAAATTTTTTGAAACTCATTCCGCTTTCCTGCTTTCTGTTTTAGGAAGAAGAAATTGACGAATCATTGGAGGAACTTTATACGCCCTGTGATGTGGCGCTGCAAATGGATGGAATTAAGGATCAAGGAAATCGATTCACAAGCGTTGAAGTATTCCAGAGAGATGGAAGCATATGATCAGGCAAAGCAAGGATTTCATCAATTTACTCCGGACGGGTTTTGTTCAAAGTCATGGCCTTTTTTGAGTCAGTACAACGGAAAAAAAGCTATGAAGAGGAGGAAGCGGAATAGAGTTGAAGATACACCTGATCTAACATCATACATGTCACAGCATAACCTTTTCTCCTATCTTGGTAAGGCTTAACATAATGGTTTTCAAGTCTCAACCGCAGAAATAAATATTGACTTTGGTTTATGATATATTGCAGAAAATAAGAGGCCAGATCCTGATAGCACTTTGTTGGCTGATGATTTTGGTAATGCAGGTAATAATCTGCTTGAACTGAAGTGTTTAAAAGTGATTTCTAATATCCAATACTTCTGAAAGAGAAAGGAGAAAGCAAAATAATCCATACATGTGTAAATCTGAAGTGTCCTGAATTTTTTGTTAATCAATCTTAATAACTATCATTCGAGTCTTTTCTTTTCACTTGAGAATTTTTCAATTTGGGGCAGTAGCCACAGAGAAGATTGCTGATTGTAATGACAAACATGGCACGGATGACTGCACATCATTCGAGTTTAGAGACGGTGATAGTTCGATGGAGCATGTTCTTTGGAAGATTGAGACATTGCATTCTCGGGTTAAGAAACTGAGGGGTCAAATTGACATGGTGATATCCAAAAACGCGGCAAAGTTCTCTTCCTCAGAGAACTTGAGCCTCCTTGCACCTTTAGACGTGCAGACCAGCTCAGCTCATAGTCCTGCATTCTCCGCTGGCAATGGAGACGAAATATCTCCGGGAGCTATGTACGCTACATCTCAACATTTAACCGACTATAATATTGGTGATCTGGTTCTTCCTGAAAGCGTCGTTTCGAGCTTTGAAGAAGCCTTCTCTGTTCCTGATATTATTGAGAGCACCGTGGGACTGTTGTCTGCTACCGATGTTACCCTTCATCAGCCTCAGTTTGGAGACTCAAGTGAAGATGTAAGTACTCCTTCTCCAACACTCTCCAACTTTTTCCATAGCTAACTAGATAATGACTTACTATAGTCAATCCTCAAATTAGAGGTTTTGAACTTGTGCCAGAGCTCTTCCCAATCTCCCCCAAAAGGTCAGAAACTTAGTAGACTAATACCAGACCGTCTAAATCATATTTCTTAGGTACTGGATTGTTTTTAACCTTGATCATAGTAGTTCCAGAGTTATCCTTGGACCAACAAATCACTCTTAACTCAAGTACTGGTATTGGCTTGAGACCTTAGAAATTCCTCTCGTGTTTTTATAGTTGGCTTTCTAAGAGTCACTACGGTTATTTTGCTACTGTTAACCATATTAGGTGAACCCCCCTTCATCTAACAATAACGAAGTATGCTTAACAACTAACAATTTCTCTGTCTTTTCTTATCCTCTCTTCTTGGCAAAAGAATTTAGGACTTGATTAGTGCTAGGTGTACGGACTCTTTTACCAGCTTCTTGATGCGAACTCACATGGCAGCTGGTAGGCAAGTTGTCATTTTTCCGCTAGTAGATGTAAATTTATAATTCTAATTGACATGACACTTGCACCTATCAATAAAAAATGACAACTCGCGTGCTATATCAATCTTATAGAGTGCGGAGCCCCAGCATTATGTTTATAAGATATTGACTTTCTTAACATAGATCAGAGTAGTTCTAGACGGTTTTTTAACATTTCCTTGGATCAAAACATCACCCTTGACTCAAGATTATAAGACCAAAGAACTCCTTGTGCAGTCACATTTACCTTTCCAAGAGTCACCACATATATCATAAAAATAAGTTTTATAGAATGTTTAATAACAATACCGATTTCTTTCTTTTTGTTACTTCTCTTCTTGACAAAAGACTGGAGACCTTATATATTCTATATTCGATATTGTGATGTGAAGATTGTGGATGACGTCTTGATACATGAGGAGGCAGCTGAAGGAGTGGGACACAGTTGTCTCCAAAGAGTAGTTAGTGACCAGCCCTTTGAGGAACCAGACATCGTGTGTGGACAAGAAGGCATGAATCCTAGTTCCATTCCATCATCAGAATCGCAACCTGATCCCGCGACGTCGGCGGTGGTGGCGGCGACTGGTGGGGTTGTTCCACAGGAGCAGTCAAGTCTAAAATCATGTCTGGCGTCAGATGTCCATATTCCCATCATCAAGAGAAAACGAGGGGAGAGAAAAGCTGGTTCGGTTGTTTGGAACAAGAGATGCTCTGGCGAGACTGATAGCCAATGACTTCCCAAAAAATAAAAATTAAAAAAAAAATCCTTTTGGGATGTTTATACTCGTTGAATGATTTGACTTAACATAGTGCTTGTCTTCTTTTTTCCACAAGCTTACATAAATGACTGTTTCTTTTCCTCATATGAATTAGTTAGCATATTTGTGTACATAAGGAGTTGTTTTGATTGACCATGGCTTATTTTTGAATTACTGTGTTTTTGGGGGTTGTTTTACTTAGGGTAAATGCAGAAGTAGAAGCTAATTTTTTTTAACAAAAAAAGTTGGAAGTCAGAAGTTAAAAAAAAAAACAGAAATAGTAGAAAATATGCAAATATGAAAAGCATAAGAAAGTATATAGGCTAACTTTTAGTTATAGAAATTAATAGGTCATAATTTGTCAAATTATGATTCATAACCAGTAAATTATGGATAAATTTGTCTAAGTTATGGTTCATAGCTAGACAAGTTATGGACAAAAACTGTGAATTATAGACAATAAATAAAAATAATAATTTAGCCTATTTATTAATTTATGTAAACTATTGGCCTATTAATTTTAATTCATTTCAAGTCTTAGCCTATTTCTCTCTTTCTCCCAAAAAAAAATGCAACTTAACAAGATAACTATAAATATCCATTTGCAAAATATTTTATTTTTTAAAAAAAAAAAAAAAAAAAAAAAAAAAAAAAAAAAAAAAACTTAAACCATGTTATATGTCCAACTGACTTTTGAATTATTTACTTAAAGTGGCCTTATAAACTGATTCTAATTTCCATTTTGAGTCCCTCCTTATCTATCCCTTTTGTTCACTTTTTTTTTTCCCTTAAATGTCTACTTTTAGAAGAGGAAAATTTAATTGTTGAAAAAGATTACTGATTCCTTTTTCATATCTGTACAACGATTTATAAACTGTTTATATGAAAAATTAAAAAAATGCAATTAAAAATATCCGTCATTGGATGCGTTTATTGTTAAAGGATCACGCGAGTATCAACTATCATGAAATGCCTTTAAAATGGAAAGGAAATTTTTCTACATTCGATGAACAATGAATTTATATTTCTTTTTGAGAGATTCGATGAACAAAATATAACAAATATAAAAAAAATGTGGTTTATGTATGATTTATTGGTGGGAAAATTATGGGGTTTGATTAATGACATAATAATAATAATAATAATAATAATAATAATAATGCCAGCCTCAAACTCAATACTGGCCGCTTAGGTTGGATCATTCTGTTTTGCAACACTTGATCGTTGTCTGAAAACGTGCACGTGTTCGTATCTCCGCATATCTCAACTTCATTGTGACCTGCACGTGATCTGTTGGCATATCACCCAAAAAAAAAAAAAAAAAAACCGTCTAGGGTCTCAAGTCTCAAACTTCAATTTACTGAAAAGGAAAATAAGAGAATTATAAAATATTTACTTAACAAATCAAATGCAATATTCCACATTATATTTCTCAATAATTTTTAAAGTATGTATCCTTTCAAATGATTAATTTCTTAACATTTCAACCCTTCAGTCAAAATTGGGATATGAATTATGTCTTCAAATAATGTCACCGGATACGTATGGACATGGAATAGTAAAGCTTAGAACTTTAAAAAAAAAAAAAAAATTATTACTGCCAACTAAAAAGTGTTAAATAGGAAGAATTTTTCTTTTTTCCAAGTTCTATCTATATGGTGTGATTAGAAAAAATTTACTTTGATAGACCTTTTTCTGATCTCACCGCAAAGCAAGTATTAAAATGTTAATCTCAAAATTGGGAAAATTTGTTGATACAAAGGGAAAAAAAAAATACTTTGATACACCTTTTTTTCTTTCTGGAAAAGATTTTGCAACAAAATTTGTGCACCGTTGTTGTCCTGAAAATTGAACTTTGATCACCTTTCACTGGCCAGTTGTTCGTAATTTGATTACAAAATAAAAGTTAAAATGTCTCTATCATCACACAAATGTGTAATTGACCTTAAATTTAGGGGAAAGCTCATAAAGATACTAGTCATTGAATGAATATGTGTAATTTGTTAAAAGATTTTTAAAAAAAGAAAGTCACTGACGTTTCGCTCGTTTGAGTTAAAAAGTAAATTCATGTAAGAGAAAACCTTATAATAAAAAAAATTAAATTTAAACTTTTGTGACAGAGAACATTGTAATAAAAACTTGAGCTGTATTCGAATTAATGCCAACGGACCTAATGAATTATTGTCACTTTCCTCCCTTTTATGAGAAGCTCTTCATTCCATCCCAAAGTGGACAACATGCTTTCTATGGTCTACATTTGCATCAAAAGCAAAAGATGACAGAAAACTCTATCCTTTTGACCCAGAAAAAAGCATTTGTCAAATTTTTGGCTATACTTCATTTGATTGTTCACTCTTTTGAGAGAAAAATTACACACTCAATACTTTACTATCAACCTTGTTATGAAAATTTGTAGACATTAATTTTGAGAAAATGAGTAGCTATATATATAAATATATACACACTTTTATTCCCTAAGTTAATTGGAGATAATAAATTAGTTCAAATCTAAGCTCCAAGTAGTTTGGCAGAACTCCTATAGATAGCCAAGCTTCTGCCAACATTTGATAATGGGGGCAATCCCAAATCCAACATCCCCAATGATAATGTCTTATTCCTTTTCTTTTTTTTTTTCTTTTTCTTTTTCTATTTGGAGCAGCTTTTAGGGGATCTCGAAGATGACTCCACCAAGAGATGAATCATGATGCCATCCATTGGAAAATTATTTATAAACACCCTGGATCTTATAATGCCCCTTCTCCTATGGACCATATTACTCTCCTTTTTAGGAGGTTTATACAACAATTTTCTTCCCTATTTTCAGCATCAATATCACAAAAAAACCATCATTTGTACTTCATATACACATAAACACATACATACATGAAAAATGTTAACATCACTCTTTCTGTTATTTTCTTTCTCATTCTTTGCATTCACTGTTCAAAAAATAAGATAATGAAGTCCACGCGTTAAATAGTGAATAGTGAATGCGCTGAATGACAAAGAGAGTGACAAAAATAGTTTTACTAATAACGTGTATTTCTCATTAATATATAATAGGAACAAATAATGAAAAATAAGGAATAAGGCATAAAAGCTAAAAATAAACTCCAACTTGTGAACCACTTCAATATAGCTCATGCACATGAAAAGAAGTTTTTGGTACCTAGGTTTGAGAAATGAAGTTATAGGCACAAATGGTTTGTTTACTTTCACATTATATGATTCTATTGTCCTAATAAAAGGCAGGCCGGGCATGTCTTAATGCAAATTAATGCCCCAACTGTCTTCCATGCTAGCACTAATCATAGTAATTTAGGAAAACAAAACATGATTACGAGGGTCTAGTCCTTAGAAAGTAAATGATAATTAATTATAAAAAAAAAGTTATTGAGGGTATTTCAGTAATTGCAAATGATAAAGCTTACAATTTTACTTTGGGCTTTGAATTTTGAAATTCTTTTTCTCTTTCTCTCTCTATCTTTGTGTAATGAAAAATCAAGAGGAATCACGCCTGCCAAAGCAAAAGGGGAGATAAGGGACTAATAAAGAATGGGGAAAAAAGGGAGTAAAGAAGCACACATTGCATTTGCCAACCCCATTTGTTTGAGTCAATAATATTTCATATCACAAATACATACAATATTTTTCTTGTTAGAATTATAGAAGCAAAAGGCTTCTCTTCTCTTCTCTTAACTCAACCCAAATGAAACTTCTTTGCTCCTCTCTTTCTTCAGCTTTTTCTTACTCCACCTTCCCACCTTGTTCATGCAAGATCCAAAGTCCTCCCAAGCAAGGTATGCCAACGTAATGCTCTCTCTCTCTCTCCTCTCTCTTCTCTCTCTATATTTCACACTCAATAGTTTTGCTACATATAGGAGTCTTGATCAGTATATATCATCTATACATTATAAGTGACTACTGTATAATCTAGTGGCCCGTTTAGTTCATATGTTTGAATAAAAATTATGTTTTTCAATCTGAATTGGGGCTCAAACTGCAAACTGAACGAAATTTAGCAACATAGCTTGACTATATACTTAATTTTATTTAGATAGATTCATGTACTTGTTGATAAAATGCGGAGATTTAGAATGTTTTGCATATTGATTATCATGTGTATGTTGATACTTTGAGTGGTGTTGTGGTTAATTATCTTGGAAGTTCGAGGATCAAGTTCTCCACCACACAAAGCAAACTCAGTTTAGTAATACAAAAATGCATCATCACTCTTTTTTTAACATGTTAGAGATTGATGTGCAAGTCTTTGTGGAATCCGCGTCATAAGCAATGGTCATAATTAATACAAAAATTTGTGATTGGTTGAAAATTTATGGTAATGATCATTGTTTATTAAATATTAAAAAAAAAATGTTAACATCACTCTTTTTATCATTTAACACTTTCATTCACTATTTAATTAAAATGGAGACTCCAAAAAAATGATGATGCTAACTTTTCTCAAAAATTAAAAACACAAATGAATGCTTGGTGAGAACATATTTGATCATGGTAGGCCTACCTATACAGGACCTATTTTCTTAGGATTCCAAATTGGTCGTAGGCATCCCTAGGCTTGGGTGGGCCGCACCAAACAGAGGCTGAAATTAGATGGGCCTTTGCTCAATCTTGACTTGGGCTACTCTCAGAACAAGGCCCATATAATTATTTGGGTGTTTGTTTGTTTTATTCTTGTTTTTCTAGGAATTAGAATACATGATCATGTGGGAATGCCGTGTGAAGATTCTATGAAGAAGTAGTAAAACAGGAGCAAAAATTATGGTGTTCGAAAGACGTTAAGAATACTTCCAGAGGGGTCCAATTTTGGACATTTGGAATTCTCTTCTAAGAATTTGACTTGGACTCGCACGCTTTTACCACGTATCATTTACGACCAACAAAATGACTTAACTTTTTTCTTTTTTTCCTGGGGTCAATCCCTTTGATACATAACTTACGTACCTTGATTTTCTGAATTCTCTCTCTGATGTCTCTCTTTCTATGCAATCATTAGTAAAGCTGAATTTGTCAAATATGCTAGCTATTCCTTTGTTATTTATTTATTTTATTTTTTAAATTTTAGAACTTTGACAAGCAATTTAGGAACATAATTTTGCTGGCTGAGAAAAATGCATGTAGATTATCCTTCTTCACAAAAAAAAAAAAAAAAAAAAAAAAAAAAAAAAAAAAAAAAACACTTTTCTTTGAGGCAATTTTTACATGTTCAAATATATGGCTTTCCATAGTTGTTGGCTTGGTCAAATACGTATGAAAAAAATCTCACTGTTTTTTTACATGTCGAAGAAAAAAATATGTAATTCGCAATATGAAAAAAATCTCAACATTGGCACATGCAACGTGTCTTTTTTGCATAACTGTGATCGTCACTTCTTGTAGTTTAGTTAAAATTTATAGGATGTCAAAATTATAAATGCGTTACACATGCACTAATATTTTGTGATTATTATTAACATTGTGGCATGTATATATATATATATATATATATGTATATAGAACGAAGCCTTGGTATCAGAGAGCAATGGAGATGGCCAGCCTCTGGAAAACCATTTCCAAGTCCACAGAGGTTCCACCAAGTCCTAATAATGCCACTAATAATCTATGGAAAACCATCTCCAAATCCACAGAAATTTCCACGCCAAATGCTAATTCCAATACTAGATCCTCACAAAAACTGAGGAAATGTACTTCCCTCAAGGTGGCCACTTCCTTTACTAGGGTTTGTCTGTGTGCACCCATTTCTTCCTACAATGAGGTCTTTAGGGGTGACCATCAGATTAATCCACCAAGAAGAAGCAATAGTTATCCGAGATCGAGGCCTTCGTTGTCATCGTCGTCGACGCAAGACAATATTAGGATTCCAAGCGCGAGGCATAGCACCGAAGTGAGGAGGGTTTTCAGGGGAAAGTCATTGACGGATGATGTTTTAATGAGAAGATTTGTTATTGAAGAAGCAATGATGCAAGTGAGGAGGAGGAACCAAATGGAAGTGATAAGGAGGAGAAATATGATGAGAAGAAAGAAGCTCGGGCCTAGTCCTCTAAGGAGAATGGTTATGGCTCCAAATGATGATGATCATGAAGAGGAAGTTTAACCCATGATGATCATGATGAGAAATTATTGTGTTAATTAAAATTTTGGAATATTTTATTGATCCTTGATTTTTCTTCTTCTTCTTCTTATTTTTTTTAGTTTCCTTTGGGGTTTTTTATGCGCATAATAATTTCCACCTTTTTGTATGGTCAACTTTAAAAAAAAAAAAAAATCAAAAGTAGTACTATTGCTCAAATTAAAATATCGCTGCATGGATCATATATATTGACATATAATTTCTACCTAGTTAGGTTGCTTAAATTACTTGATCGCATCATTATTATTATTATTATTGTTTGAGACATGCGTTTTGTTTTTACGAAATGCATATAATTATACACTTATAAGGCTTAATCAAACTACTATATGCAATGTATTATGTATAAATGTGCGCTTAATGAAATTGATTTTATTAACATGACTGAGGGTGTGACATTAGTGAGCACTATATAGACCAGCGCCTCACTTTTCATGTTAACATAAATAATTAAAAAAAAATGTGCATTATACTTAGAAGGAGTCAATATTAGAAGAACTACACCTACTATAAAAAAAAAGGTCAGGATATGATAACGTTTGAAAAGAGACACAACTCTACTTTATAGTCTCTACAGATGAACTGCCTACAACAAGTGCTGACTAATTAACAACTGCATATATAGCTAACTTGGCGCTAAATTTAAAATAATTGATTTTGCTTATAAGCCACTCAAGAACAAGAATAATGAACAACTTCTAAAGCAAGAATAGTTGGTGTTTAATCTGCATCAAAGTTGTCAGGTTAGGTTGATTTCTGACATTGGTACTTGGCTGAGGAATGTCAACTCCAGGCACACAATATTCCTATCTATTTTTTGTCCATTTTTTTCATGTACATTGTGCATTATTATTAATATCAACAAACCAACTATCTTTCTCTATTTCTCATCATGACTTTTTGGCTAATCATTAAACTTGTTTATATATAGACATTTCTTTCCAACGGTCATATATCCATTATACTGTATCCATTGGGTCGTGAGCCACACTAAGGGCATTTTACTTTCTTTTTAATTATTTTCGTTACTTAAGGCGGTATATGTTTTGTTTAGTACGAGAATTTAAATTAGAATAATTTTAATCATAATTTTAAAATCAGAATCATGATTCTGAAATTATGATTCAGAATTAAGGGTTTGAATCAACTTAAATTAAGAGGGGGGTGGTTTTAGAATCATGATTTGAGCTAGTTTAAAACACACATTAGATTATGAATAATGATTCAGAATCATCCAAACCAAACACTGATTCTGAATCATGATTTAGAATCATGATTCAGAATCACTTTAAACAAACACTGATTCTAAACTAGGATCCAGAATCATGATTCTGATTCCATCTACCAAACGCACTTTATGACTCTAATATCCTATTAAATTTTCAATGTGGGATTTGTACTTGGGTAATTCCAAGATTTATCCTTAATTTTATTTTGATTCTTAACTTTTAAAACATCTCACAGTTAGGTTTTTGAAGTTTTATTATATTATTAGTTCGGTTTTTCTATTAGTCAGCTATTAGATATTTGACAGAATTTATAAAAATTATGAACTAAAATTGAAAACATATAAAATTTAGTGACTAAAACAATAAAAAAAACAAAAGTCAATTAACGTAGATAATCTCTAAATTTTATATGTTTTCAGTTTTGGTCATTAGGTAACAGATTTCAATAAATATTAACACTTAATTAATAGAAAGACCAAAATTAAAATTAAGTAAAACTTAAGGGACAAACTATGAGACGTTTTAAAAGTTATGAACTAAAATTATTTTACTTTTAACTTCCTCTTTCAACTTACAAGGGAAAAAAAATTTAAAACTTCTCTCATGAATTATAATATGATATAATACATATAACAAAGTTAAGAACTATAAAGAAGTGCACAAAACACAGCCTCATTAAGTTGGCGATTCTTACTCTTGATATTGAGCACGTCCCCGCGATTCTAGTGTCGTTGAACTGTATTTTTGGTCTAATTTGTCACGTAGGGAGAAAATAAAAGATCAGCTGAACTATCGATATTTCATAAAAAGATTATGACCTTTTTAGGTACGCCAACATATCGATATATTAAGTTTTTTATTCGTCAGATATGTATAAAATCACGTAAAAATGTACGCATATTCAACGGTTAAAAAAATCTAACTTACCGATACGTCATACGTACTAAAAAATCTCTAAAAGAGTTATCTATATATGTTAAAATTTTCAGCCGTCGATGACGTGGAATGAATGTCTATTGTCTAATTAACCGCATTTGGTACTTTCACGAAAAAATGACACCTAATTCGGTACAAATCCAACATCAACTAATTAGTACCTTGAACTACGTGGAGACGTTTGGTTCATGAATTAGAATTATGAGATTATAATCATTTTTTATTTACGTGTATTTTTTATGAGAGAAAATACTGTAGCGAATCACGAACCATAATTCAAATCGGGATACGAATCTCCTAAAGAGCCAAAAAGAAAAAAGCAACACCGCTAAAACTTCATTAGAAAAATAAGAAAAATAATCCCATAATCCTTATATATTCATATACATATATTATTATTTTTTTATAAAAAAAAAAGTCAGGGGAGATGGAGCATATACTAAAAGTTTCATCAAATTTCATATATAAAGTTAAAAAGAAAATAAATTTAAGTGGGACGCCCCTCTACTCTTAATATGGCAACACCAATGTACACACCGACACATATGTATATGTATATCCACACACATATGACTTAAACCAAACTGACCTTTTTTTTTATATTTTTTGAAATGGTTCTGTTTGCTTAATCAGATTTCCTAAGGAAAGAACTATTAATAATTTTTTATTTAGAGGTAATAATATAATAAAATAGCCTTTTTCTTTTTAGTTATTTTCTAATTATTATTTAACTCAAATATAATAACCTGTGGTGTGAATATTAGAATTCAAGTTACGTATAGATATTAAAGATTTCCACCACCCCGATGGTTGTTTTTTTATTTCCCTATATATATATATATTTGGTTAAGAATATGTTGGTTCCTTATTTATTTCCTTCTTTTTGCCGAAAGGGTTTCCTTTTTTGTATAATTACAAGTTGATTATCTCTGGAAACACGTCTTTTATAATCAGCTTTCATAGAAATAGCATCTAGAATGGGACCTTTTATTGCATTCTTCTCTCTTTTTTTTTATCTTTTTTTATCTTTTTTTTCTATTTTGTCTTTATTTTACATAATAATAAATAACAAACCCTAAACCCCTATCACTCATATACCCCATGAGGTACCACTAGTTCTCCTTTCCACCCAACATGCATACCACCTTTTATTAATTTTCTCTAGCCAGCCATGCCCACGAAGGAAAAACAAAAGCTCAATAACGTGATAGCCACCACCAAAATAATAATAATAATAATAGTAATAATTAAATAAATAAATAATTATATGATATTTCGTATTTTTAATGATATTATAATTAATTCCCACAAAATCAACAATTTAATAAAATGGAATAAAGTTCTTCCAACCAATTAGGGTTGTATTTTTTTTTTTTTTTAATACATACTACAAATAGTAAACAGCCAAGCGTGTAATATATTTCTCAAAATATTGTATTGTTGTTGTCAATGATGTGTCGCCCCTATTTTGTGATTTTTTTTTAAAAAATAAATAAATTGTTCTGATAATTTTGCGAGGTGTTGTTACTTTCAGTTAGGGTGTAGTTTATGCATCACTCAAGCTCACACGTGGCGAGACAGGTGTTATAATGCGACAGGGCGTACAGTAATAAGTAGACTTCCCAGAGGCCACACCCTTTTTTACAACGAAGTTTTGTAAGCACAATCATACCCATCCATCTATCAAAGTTTTCTCAACACTATTCAATTCATATTCTTATCCAACGGCTGATATTTATCAAACACAATCACGTGTTTGCACTCTTTGATTTTTTTTTTTTGTGTGGGCCCCACGTGCAGCTCCTTCGAGCTTTGGCAGTTGGCTACTGCTGGTCTATTGCCATCTGTTTATTGTCGTTTGTCATTGCTTATGTACTTCATCCATCCCACGCGCTCCACCCCTTCCATCTTTATTTATTTGGAGAACGTTTGGTTTGAGAATTTAAATTGTGATTTAAATTGTGATTTAATTTATATAAATTTTTTATAAAAAAAAATATAGTAGTGAATTACGAATCATAATTTAAATTAAGAAATAAATTTCTCTATTAAACATCTTATTTGTGATGAATTCATGTTTTTAATTAAAAGTTCCTTTTTTGGTCAATAAAGGTGTTAAAGTTGTAAACCTAATAATTAACTTGAAACAAAACAGGGAAATGTTATAAGCCACCTTTTATGAATATTGTATTATTGATTATGGCTATTAACGCTTTTTCACCAATGATATTTCTAAGTTTAAGATTATTCTCTTTTCTTTCCTTTTTAACCAATATGGTACAAAATTTAGAGCTTAGACTTCAAAAAGTTAATAATTCTAAAGGGATGGATATGAAATATTGGAACATTAATATAGATTCATAATAGAGTTGCTCTAACTTTGTCCATCGATCATCGGACTTTGGGTTTCCTTTCTGAACGTCAATATGAACCAATAGATTTACTGATTTTTTTCATGTATGCATTAGATTTTTTGTATTTCAATCTTACATTAATCTATTCATAGACTTCATGTTTTAATTTTAAATGAAATGTTATTTTCTCTTAAAAAAAAGAGAACAGATAAATTAGAGCGAATGAATTAGGGAATAAAAATATGAGATAAAAAGGCATTATTGAATAATATTGTGTTGAGAATTTTGCTAAAATTAGACGTAGCCATTGATAAGTCTTTTAAAACCCGTTTAGTTCATGCGTTTAAATAAATGATTATTAATTTTAATATTTTAAAATTTTAATTTTTTATTAAAAAAATACTATAATATAATTAAAATCATAAATTTAAACGTATAAAATAAATAAACCATTAATATAATATCTGGACTCGGACTTCAAATGTACTAATTTGGTTCCATATATTATCTGCCCCATTGTCAGAAATCTAAACATCATCTTTTATTTTATTTTCTTTATATTTTTTAATTTCTCTTATTTAGTACAAAATTTGTTACTTGACGACAAAAAAAGAAAAGAAAAAAAAAAAGCGCACCAAATATAGTTAAATACTCATTTATTGCTCAGGTGCCAAATCACAATTGGATCTTTGTTTCCTCGATACCCAACTTATAAAATGATGGTCTTTAATATCCATATTTTTCCCATTTTATTTTTTATTATTTTCTTCAACCGAGAAATCCCGAATACGTCATAGTAGTACATTTTTCACGTATGCCAAAAGGTGTGCGGAGTACTATAAGACATCCTTTTCAAAAAATAAAAAAAATAAAAAAATACCATTAGACATACCAAATCCCATATGTACGTGCAAACACGCGCAGTCAGGAGAGCGTGTCTCTGGAATGAGAATCTTCATGGACGATGGATATTTTTACATCAAAGAAGAAAATTTTCTTAGATCACTGTTTGTTCTTTGTTTTTTCTCATCAAAAAGGAAAAAAATAATATAAATAAAAAGTTTAGTTTGAAGGGTGAAAAAATAAAAGTCTCAAGACACGTAGCTGCAAATTGTTATTGTAAAAATTAGATTCTATAATTAAATTTATTTAGAAGGTCAATAAGCGTTCTCGGGTGTCAATTGTGTTTAGTGATTCGATTGGAGATAATTTGAGTGAATAAAGCACTATAATAAAAATACATAAATTTATAGTGGTTGAACCTTCAATGTAAAAGCTACATTTAATGTAGGATCTCAGAGTTTCAATCTACAATAACGGAGAATAAAAGGAGAGAAAGAATGAGAGGATCTAGAGAGAGAATCTAAAGTGAGGGAGAGAATGCAAAGTACGAGGTATGAATGTGATGTATGAGATGACCAATTCGTGATCATAACCTCCTTATTTATAGGAGATGATTTCTAATTTCTTTTTTTCTCAAGCTGATGCGTTGACGACTGGAGAATGAATAATTTCCTCTTTTTTTAGTTGATTTTCTCGTTCCTTATTTATTTATTTGTTTTTTGGTAGCTTTCCTCTTCAATATTGATATGATTTGTGCCTTAAATATTTTTGGTTGGATTGGACTTTGTGACCTAGAAAGAACATTAATTCCTGGTTTATCTATAGTGATCCCTACAAATCTCCTATTGTAGTACTTCTCTAATTGACGCAGTTTCTCAAGTCAACCCTGCGGCCAGTTAATTTCAGTCGATAGTCTTCGCCAAAATGTTGTCCACGTGTATGGATGTGATCTTGCTAATTTTACCCCTTAACAGTAATATCATATCAAAATTTTGGTATAAAAAAAATGAAATGCATGACAATACGAGTCTACAACACTAATAGGTTATAAGATAATATTTTGAGCATTGTTGTTCACCTCTGTTGTTGGTGCATACGCTTGGAAGAGTTGTGATAGTCTACTATCACACGAATAAGTCCATATTTTTATACAGCAATGTTGTTATCCAACATAATTTAACGGTAAATCTATATTTAGAAGATATAGAGTAGAATTCCAGCCTAATAATAATAATGAATAATTACATCACAAAGAAGAATTAATAACTGTTTTTAATTCTAAACAAAAAGAATACATGAGGTGCAAAGGTTTATAGACAGTTGCATATATAAAAAAAGGATTATTTTCATAAGTGTCTCTTGAAATATTTACTTGTTTTAAAATGTCCTCTGATTTTTTAAAACAGTTCAAAACACTTATTAGTATATAAAAAATCGTTCAAAACACCCCATCTGCCTGATTCCATCTACAACTTAATAAATTTTGCTGATGTTGATTCGTTTATAAAATAATTAAGGTCATTAAGTATTAATTAAATCTATAAAATGAATAAATATTAAACAAATATGAACCACATAAAACAAACACTCCCGAAAAATAGTAATAAAGAGAGAGCACGAGAAAGAGAGAAGTGGGAGAAAAAGGCTTGCGGGCAGCGGGCCAACACGTCGCCGGCCTACTGGCCCTTGTTCTCCATCAAGAGGTCGCCATCATTCAATCTTCGTGCTCTGATGGGAGTTGTGTCGCCAAAGGAGGAAGTGTGGGTTGGGGTTGAAGCTCGCCGTCACCGATTTGGGGTCGTTATCTTTGGGGGAAGAGCTGACAGCGTTCGCGGAGGATCGCTCACTATGACGGTCGGTTTTGGTCGGAGGGGGGCTGGCGTTGGCTTGGCGGAGGATTGGCACTGTGGGTTGGGCAAATTTGGCTGCACTGTTGAGGGGCTCTCCCGTGGTGGGGGATTCGTGCCGCCGTCGGTGAGTAGGATGAGGCGGATCTGGGACGTCCGGGGAGTCTTCCGTGGACGGGTCGTGAGACCTGTTAGGGCCCATGGGTTTTTAGCGTGGAGGGTTATCATTTTCATTAATTAAATTAGAATTTAATACCTTTAATTAATATTTAATGTTATGTCACATTGGTAATCTGTTTGAATTATAGACAAAAAATAACAATAGAGGTATTTTGATTCATTTTCTATAAATTATGGGTGTTTTGAACTATTTTAAAAACTCAAAGAGTATTTTGAAATAAAATACATACTTTAAAGAGTATTTTAAAATGAAGTACATACTTCAGAGAGTATATATGAAAATAATCCTATAAAAAAGGGTTTTATAGAAAGACTAATGAAAATAATGATGGTATAATAAAAGAAAGGGCAGATTTACCAAACCTAACCGTATAAATTAATTTAAGTGGGAATTGTTGTTGTCCAAAATAGTCTTCCCATTTAAGTAAAGTTGGTTGAAGTTGGCCACATTTTTGAGTGAGAAAGTGGCCAACGTCCTCTCCTCTCTCTCTCTCTCTCTCTCTTCTCTCCTCTTCTCTCTCTCTCTAGCTCTTTCTCTTCTCTTTCTCATCATCATCATCATCAAACTCATAATAATAAATAAAAGAAAAAAAATTATATATATAATATAAATCCCACAAAAGGTGAAAGGCAGCCAAGAAGAGAAAAGGAAAGCAAAGCCAATTCAGACAAGGCGAAAAACACGCACACACCCCAGTTCAAAGTTCTAGAGATAGAGAGAGAAAATTCTTTGAAAGAATCATAAGATCATGGACTAAAATAAAAAAATAAAAAATAAAAAGACAGAGGAAGGCTAGAGAGAGAAACAAACATAAAACCAGAGGGAGGCTCAAACAAACCTCTTCTCTCCTTCTCTCTGCTTTCTTCTCTGTTTCTTCCTTTTGCTTGTGTTATTATTCTTCTTAGCAGCTTTTCCAGGGTTGAGAAAAGGCTAATCAGGTACAAAATCTTCTCATCTTATGCTGGTTTATACTATAAATCCTTTTGGGTTTTCGTTAATTAAGCTTGTTATGATCGTTTAGTTTAATAATTAATTTCTTGAGTAATTATGTTCTGAGTTTTAGGATCCCAACAAAAAGAACCATATTTGGAAGAGAGAAAATAAAGCTAGCTTCTTTGGTCTTTCTGTAGTGGAAAAAATAAGTAATTTCCTGTTTGTTTCGAGGTAATTTTCTCGGGATCCATCTTGTCTTGATCAGAAAGAATTTAACTGTCAAGAAAAATATCTTCTTTTCTTTTTTTAAGAAAAATATTTGCTGTGTACATGTGGTTCCAAAACCATTTTCTACGGTCTCTAATTTATGTGTCTTTTTTTTTTTTTTTTTTTTTTTTTTTTTTTTTTTTTTTTTTTTGCCTTGTCTTGATTATGTCTCGATCATTTATGAGATTAAGAAATATCCTTCTGAGGACTTTGCTGTATTTTTTGCTTTTTTTTATTAATTTATTTCATACATGTTCAACTAGATTATAATTTTAACTTGTCATTTTGTGGTTTGTTTGGATATGCATATATAGATATACTAGTCTATATAGTTTTGACCTCAGATTTTTTAGCCTTTTTTGAAGATAGAGAGTATTTTTTGTTTTTGTTTTGATTTACATGAACCATAATTATTTGAATCAACTCCCTCTAGATTCCACTGTTTTTCTTTACCTTCTTATTATCTTCTTCCTTGAAGATCAACCTCGTATGCTTCAACCGTAAAATCCCATGTTGATTTTAGCTGAGGATTTTTTTTTTCCTCTTCTCGATGAGAGATGTTTCTTATGGCGTGTTGTTCTGGAAAATACTGTCAGATGAGCATGTCATCTTCTTTGTGCTTAATATGGGGATTTGAGAAGGAAGAGTCAATTATAAGCTTATAAATCGTTTGGTAAGTTTTTTGTGTCATAATTTTAGTTTGGTTTGAAGCTTAAGAAAAAGTGTAGAAATGTGTCGTGATTTTAGAATTTGTTGAAATTTTCTTTATGCAGCTGCGAGGGAGAAAAAAAGTAATGCTAGAAACATGGGAAAGAAGGGAAGTTGGTTTTCTGCAATAAAGAGGGTTTTCACACCCCACTCCAAGGAGAAACCAGTCAATGTAAGTGGGGTTCTTCCTTTCTTTCTTAATTGGCTAAATCTTTTCCTAATTAATATTTATTTGTAAATAATAAGGTTATTTGTAGATGGGATTCTCCAATCCTAACTCCAAGCGGTCCATTTTAGGATTTGGTTTTTGTTTGGTAATTGGGTTCTTGTTTGCTGAAATGAAAGTGCTTGAAAGTATCTAGATTGGAACTTAGGATTTGTCTAAATGACTTGATAAAAATTGTAGGCCCACCATAAATGGTTTGTTAGGTAATAATAAATGATCAAAGATCTTTGTTAACTAGATTTAGTGGCTATTCGAGTTTCAAATATTAATTTCACATTTCATTCTATTTAGAAGTTTTTGTGTCTTTAGTCTAGAAATGCAAGAAGAATACTACTTACAGTATTAATGACATTGCAGGACTCAGAGAAGAAAACCACAAAAGAGAAAAAGAAGAAGGGCCTAGGAAAGCTTAGACATGGAGAGACCAATTCTTTCATTCCCCTCTTCAGAGAGCCTAGCAGTATTGAGAAGATCTTTGGGGATTTTGAAAGAGAGCAACAGAGAGTAACTTTTAGGCCTCCTCTATCCCCCGAGCAACCGAAGAGTACACCGCCTCTTGTGCCTCCTAGAGTTGCTACTCCAAGGGCGGCTTCTCCATTAAGGGTTGTGTCACCTAGAGTTGCTTCTCCTAGAGCTCCTTCTCCGAGGGCTGTATCACCGAGGGCTCCTTCTCCTAGATTTTCTTCTCCAAAAGCTGTTTCTCCTAGAGCTCCATCTCCGAGAATTGTTCATCATCACCATCACCATAAGGAGATAAGTTATAGACCCGAACCCACTTTAAGGCACCATCACGCTTCAGCTACCAAGATCCAAGCCGCCTATAGAGGTTATACGGTAAGCTTTTTAGGTTCATATATGCATTTCCAAATTAGTTTGTATTTAGTGTCGATGCTTGTTTAATTATAACATCGGTGTTGTACTTGTTTTGCAGGCCAGGAGAAGCTTCAGAGCTCTTAAAGGGCTGGTGAGGCTTCAAGGAGTGGTGAGAGGGCAGAACGTGAAGCGCCAGACGATGAACGCCATGAAATACATGCAGCTCTTGGTGAGAGTCCAGTCTCAAATCCAGTCGCGGAGGATCCAGATGTTGGAGAACCAAGCAAGGCGTCAAGCTCAATACAGGAATGATAAGGAAGCAGAGAGTGCTTTTGGCAAATGGAACTTGGGCAATGATGTAAGTTACACCATTTATTTAGTTTTGGTTTATAGCATAGCCTTCCTATCAGTTTTTGGTTGCAATCATGAAAATCGAAACAACTACTTTTGAAGTGAAGAAAAGGGGGACTTTTTAGTGTCAAGATGTCTGTTATATGTATTACTAATGATGGATGGGTTTGGTGTTAGTCTGAGGCAGGTAATGATGATTGGGATGATAGCGTGCTGACAAAAGAGGAAGTTGAGGGAAGAATGCAGAGAAAGGTTGAGGCAATCATCAAGAGAGAAAGAGCAATGGCCTATGCATATTCTCACCAGGTATTCTGTTTTTACCTAAAAAAAAAAAAAAGAATCCATTTTCAAACCCATCACTTGGACCTATCTATCAAATAGCCTATGAAGTTATTTCATGTCATCTTTTATGATTCATCTCTACTTGATATTGAGCTCACAACTCAAAATTTTGTTAAGTGCATCATATATTTATGTTTAATTTCTCTATATAATTTCAACGAAGAACTTGATTATTGATATTGGATATTTAGATTTCCTCTCTGTTGTCCTTCTGCTACTAAATGTTTCTTAACTTGCATTCTTTTTTGAAAGAATTTGCATTTCTTAGAGCAATAGATGTTCTGACGTCTTGATTCTTGTTGTGACAGTTGTGGAAAGCCAGTCCTAAATCAGCTCAAACGCCTCTAGCAGACATCCGAGCCGGCGGATTTCCATGGTGGTACAACTGGTTGGAAAGGCAGCTACCTCCTCCTTCCAATCCTCCCGAAACCCCCAACATCATGAAGACCTTCCAACTCACTCCTCCAAGGCCTAATTCTGAGTTTAAGCCAAGCCCCCGCCCGCCATCTAGCATCCAAAAACAACGCCAGTTCGCGTTCGAAACATCCTTGGATACTCCCACCCCAAGATCCACAAAGTCCACCATAGTATTCCCGACTACAGCCGGAAGGATGTCATCAGCCCGAACCCCAACACCAGGCAGAACTCCATTAGCCAACGCCGCCACCTCAAAGGCTAAAGTGAGACCTAACAGTAACCCAAAGGAGCGGTTCATGGCAACCCCGAGCAGCGACTACTCGAAGAGAAGGCTTTCTTTTCCCTTGACACAAGGCATTGGATCGTTCAAGTGGAACAAAGGCTCATTCTTCTCCAATGGTGGTAGTAATAGTAATAATAATGACACAAGCACTTCTGCAAGGACATTAGAAAAGCACCAGTCCCTGCATTCTGTGGGAAATTTGAGTGTGGATTCGACGGTTTCTTTGCCAGCGGCGGTTGGAAGGAAGCCGTTTAACCGATTTGTGTGATTTGATTTTGTGTAATTTTTAACATTTGTTACGTCCCTTCCGTTGTGTTTATTTTGATTTTTGAGTGTTATGGTGATCATAGTTTGAGTTTACCAAATACTGATGTAAAATAATAAGGGAAAAAAAAAAGGAGAATAGGAATATTGGTGGTTTGAAGTAATTGGTGTAACAGATTGGTTATTTTATTTTGATCTTTATTTTTTTTTTGGGAGAAAAGAAAATATCATGACAGTTAATTCTTTTTGGTTTTGTTTTATTTAAAAAAAAAGGCCTACTGATGTGCTACCAAAATCAAATCATCCTATTCTGCCTATGACTAGCACAAGAAAAATTTGTCGTTATTTTGATGTATATTGCCGTTTTATTTTGTTTTTACGATGGTTATCGTTTTTCATTCTTTGCATAGAAATTTTCGTCTTCAACATCTGTTGTTCTCAAGGTTTATGTTCTTTAGCAGTACATACTATTTCAAATTTTGTCGTTATTTTAATGAATATTGCCGTCTTTTCAGGTTTAAACTATATTTTCATATTTTGTTGTCACTGGTCTTATAATTTGATGGTTGGTTTTCATCGAAATTATCGTTTTCCGCAATATTGTCGTTTTCTTGTCGCTTTTGAATGATTGTCGTTTTTAAGGACTATGGCTTTCATAGGAGTTGTTTTTTCTTTCAATTATTTTTTATATGATGGTATTGTTGTTATTAATATTATTCTGGTCTTTTTTTCCCTTTTCTTCACCTTCTTGTCGTTTATAATTTTGACGTCGCTTAATGGTGTTTGTCATCTCTCCAAACTATTATCGTTTTGAGGTTTTGTCGTTCTCATGGTTATTGTCGTTTTAGATTTTTACGCCGTTTAGTAGTGTTGCTTTTTACATTATATCATGGTTTTTCAATTTTCATTTCTTTCATTATAGTTTTTGTTTTAGACACTATTGTCGCATTTCCGTCTTTCTCTTTTTCAAATTCTTGTCGTTTCAGATATTTAAGTCGTTTAAAGGTATTTGTCGTTTCTTTGCTATTGCCATTTTTTTCACTTTTGGTCAATTTTGATGTCGTTTGATTGTAGTTCTCGTTCCTGTAAGATTTGCTCGACTTCTTTCGTTGTTTTTTCAAGTGGCTCAGTTTCAAAAATGAAGCTTTTCCCACACGTACGAAAAAGCTAACATAAATGGGAGAGCAAACTTTAGCTAAAGTATATACTTTTTTAATAAAAATAAAAGAGAGATAACATTAAGACAAACTTGATTTCCCTCAAAAAAAAAAAAAAAAAAAGAAGAAGAAGAAGGAAAAAAACATATCCTAAAGGAAATAATTAAGTAAAAAAAAAAAAAAAGAAAAAGAAAAGGATCCTTCTGTTACTAACGGGTAAAAGTACTTTTGATGTTAGGCTTTTTCATGGAATTTTTGCTAATCCAAAGGTCTGCTTATCAAATTAAGTATAATATAATCTGTCAAATGCTAATATTATATTATATTTATAATATTATTTTGCTTACCTTTTGTTTTTTCAAGTACGGTACCAGAGCCAATTGTTTATTATTTTGGTCGGTCTTAAATATACAGGTATAGAATATGTATTGATTTGTCTTGCAAAAATAATAGTTAAATAAAAAACAATGATGGACAGGTGTTTACTAACAAAACAATTTAAGGTGTTATGATATAAAAATTGGTAGGTGTCATCAAATAGAATTTATTTGCTTAGGGGCTATTACTAAATTAATAAATAATTAGACCAGCGAAAAAGAGTTAATAAATAATTATACACATACATAAAATACTTTATGGAAGTAAGCTTAATCTGATCTTAATTCCACATAATACATTTTAATTTTGAGATTCAAAAATTTAAAATTTTCCATCTTCAACATTTTCGTTTAAAAAGTCCTTCAAAAGAAACAAAGACATGCTAGTTAATCCAAGAAAGAGACTGATTACTATGTATTGATATATAATAATAATAATAATAATAATAATAATAATAATAATAGTAATTATTATTATTATTATTATTATTTTATACTAGTGAAGACACGTTACTCAATCACTAACTCTTTCTGAAACGTGGAATGGCACCGAATGTATATTTACGATATCTTTGATGACTTTTAACCCTTTCTGAAACGTTACTCAATCACTAAAAAATGGTCATCAAAATTGATTTTTTATTTATTTTATACTAGTGAAGACACGCATGCATATATGCATATAGGAAAATATTTGCATATATAGATATTGCAATTCTTAAGGATGTAGAGATTATAAAAATCGAAGTTAAACTTTCAAGCTTTAAGAAGAGGCCGGGATATATATATATGAATTAGAACTTGCTGCTAGAGAACTGTAGAAAGATATTGTGGGAGGCTAGGTTGTAGTCCAGGTTCAACGAACATAAAAGTAAAAAAAAAATTAAGGGCAATGATGTATTGGATGGAGAATTTAAGGTAGCGTGAGTTTAAGTAAGATTATGACTGAGCCACATCAGTCTCACAGCGAACAAGAGAATCTTTATAGATAGTATTTCACCGTCATGCCACCACCACTGATAATAAGATATTTTTACATTTAAAAATTATAATCAATATCCTTAGTATCATTCTCCTATACCTCTTACTCTTTTTTTCAGCTTAGCATCTATAAGTAGAAAGTTACATCAACCTATTTGACAAGTTGACAAGAAGCATAATTTCAGTATTACAACGGACAATATAATTCGATATAAATTGATTCCTGAATGATAAATGGGAGGACCCTAATATGTTATCTTTTGTTGTTATGTTGTAAGTACTGGTAATAAGATGTTGCCACACTTGAAAGTTAACAATTAATGTCTGTAGTGTCCTTTTCCTAACTTTTTATTTTTTCAGCTAAAAACAAATGATAATAAAACAAATATAAATTTTACTTATAAAACAAAATTAAGGTTAGATAAATGACTCAAATTAGTTTTGGTAAAGTAATAATTTTGTGCTTTTAGGTAAGTTATTGTTTAAGTTTTTAGGAAAGGGTTATTTTATGGCTTATTAGGAGTTTATATATAAGTGTTTTGTGTACGGCTTTATGTGTGTTCAGAAAAAAAATGTGCTCAGAGAAAAGTGTAGAAAAAGAGTACCTCATTTTGAGAGAGAGAGAGAGAGAGAGAGAGAGATAGGCAATTGTGTAAGGAGTTTTGGGTAGAGAGAGAAAGTGAGAAAGTGTGTTGAGTGTGTAATTCTGAAACTGTTAGTGGTTTTTTTCTCCCTTTCCCATGAATGTAGGAAATTTTTCTAAACCACCTAAATATATGTCTTATCTATTTTTCAGTTATTTTTGTTTCATTTTATTTTTCCTATTGCGTGGCTGTAGGGGTTTTTTTTTCCCCAACATATGTGTACAAGGTTGCTCTCCTGTTGGAAATATCAAGTAGTAGTATTTGTAAGTTTCTTGTCCTCTCTCAGCTCTCCAGAAAAAGCATGTGAGATTAATATGTTCATTAATATTCGAATATTTTTTAATTATTGTTTTTAAGTCTTCCTCTAATTAATTACTTACAATATTATAAATCCATAGTACATTAATACTTACAATTGTGTTTGTTTCAATTTTATGAATTCCACTCATGACATCATGAGGATTAATGTCTGTTTTTACTGTCTTTAATTTGCGGTAGTATTAAGTACCGCAGACGAACAATATCGATATTACTACAATACTAAATGCATGAAAGAATGAATTGTGAAGATTAATGTTCTCAACCATAATATAAACATGTATATAATCTTGCATGTCAGCGAATTATTCAAGACTCAAGAGTATGGATATAGTTGTAGTTGCAGTCACGCAGGATATATATGTGTTGGGTTTAATATGTGTGTGTTTGTATTTGTATATATATATATATATATTCACGATTGATATCTACGATGTAAAATAATCACGGTTCTTTCTCATCTGCAGACACACTCGCACGCACTTGTACGTGTATAGTTAGATGCATGGAACGTGGTTCCGTGAATTAATGAAAATAGATAAAATATAAATATGGTTTTTCATTTCACAACTTAAGAAAAATAGTGCAATGAAGAAAAAATTGACATGCTTTTTTTCCCGGTTTATCCTTTTTATTAATTTTTTTCTTCGACTTCTTCCTTTTTCATATACATTTTTCTTCTTGTTATTTTTATAACTTACTCAAAAAGTTTTGAACGTACTTAAAGTTTATGGAAATGTAAAACTTAACTGTATGAGCAGAAGTAATAAAACAAGAAAATCAGGCATGACAAAACTTTGAATTCTGTCACCAAAATGTGGTCAGATAATTCAACATTAAAACAAGTAGATGGATAATATGTGGGGTTCTATAAATTACCAAGCACCATTAATTACAGATAAGTCACATGCTAAAATATCCTTATAATTTTAAAATTCATTGATGTTGAGACTGATTTTTCTAGTGAAAATGAGACACAAAGTAGTACAAATGCATCGGTTAATAACTTAATATATAATATTAAAGACTAAATTATTGTCAATTTAGGTTTAAGTTCTTCTTACTCCAGCTCCTTCGTTGGCACTATACCACACGAAGTCAAGAATGGCGTCTCTCTTGAATTGCGTCCAATGTCTCTTTATAAGATGGAATATTTTATAAAGAAAAAGTTTAATCCCAAATTTACTGGATTCTTCTTAAAAAAATATTGGATTTAATACCATAAAATACAAAATTAAATACGTTAATTATTAATATTTACTACACGTTTACTAGTATTTGTCTACATAATATTTACTAATTTTTACTCAGTAAGGCACTATAAATTTAAAGATAAAATCATTTTAATACCATGTATTATAACGAAATAAGCTCTTAGTATCATGTATTTTTAATAATATTAAAACGGTATCTTGGCGTTTTTAAAAACATTTTCTTAGTATCCTAAAATTAATTTTTAAAATATGTAATGTCCAAACTATTCTTCTTATCAATTAAATAAAAACATGTTGGCCTCTTCAAATGCCACCATCGGACGTACGTTAACTACATATTGCATGGGCTGCATGCTAAGTGCTAAAGATACGACCTGCAAATACGAATACATATTCCCAAAAAAAAAAAA